CAGTAGATGGAGGAAGTCCCACCACCTCTGTAACTCACATGATTGAACCACTGATACATAAGCATTTTGAAAAAAGACTGTTTGAGGGGCTGTTTTCATCTCCATCTCCGAGCACAGGGGGAAAACTTGACTGACACAAATGTACATTCAATCCGCTTCAGCACCACCAACATGAGTTCAAACCTGTGTGACAGCTTGAGATGCTAGAAGGATCGAAACAGACAGATTTGCCAAAAAAGCACGTCAGCAGTCTCATTAGCAGCTGTAGCGCTCAAATGAAAGCTCTTAAAGGAAGTAGATCCTCTAAAGAGTTCCCATAAGGCACTTCCTCCAGGGGAGATCTCATTCAAAAGGACGTTTTACAACTATAAGTTGAATCAAAACACGGGTAGCTGTGTTCTAGATAACACCTGTTCTGCAATTTGATGTCTGCAGCAGGAAAACAAATTCACACTTCACACACAGACAGAGCTATAGATGGGCGGATGATACCACAGCTCAGCAGCTCGTGTTATCCGAGTGAACCGCAATGCTTCACCATAATGTGTCGAAACTTGACTTGAAGATGAAAGTGTCATGTGAATGATGATGATTGCAGCCTCTCTGCTCGGATCGATCTAATCCAAATCTCCATTATTTGCCTCCATTCCATCACTAAAAATGCCATCACTGCTTTAGTTTGCAAATAAATCAAGCTCAGATCATTAACATGCTGTTCCTGTGAATACTTCTCATTCTTGTTCAGTTAAAACTGGCATTACAACCATGCATTTGTACTATTGTTATTGTCATCTCTCTCTGTCTGCATCTCCAGTAACAGCAGATGACTGTTGAACATGAGTCTGGTTCTGCCCAAGGTTTTTGCCAGTTTAAGGAAGTTAGTTGTGCTTCTGAACTACCACCAATGATTGGAGAATTTACAAGACCAACAAAAAAAGGTAGTCCAGTGATGTGATGGATGGGACTGCTCCCTTCCAGGGTCATAGTATCGGGTTCGATTTCAATTTTGCATCTCCTTCTCTTCCTCCAGTGCAGTAACAGCAGATGACTGTCGAACATGAATCTGGTTTTGTCTGAGGTTTCTGCCTCTTAAATTTAGTTATTTGTGCTTTTGAACTTCCACCAATTTTTGGAGCATTTACAAAAACAAAAAAAAAGGCATTCCAGTGATGTGATGGATTGCACTGCTGCCTTCCAGTTAGTGTTGTGTCGTTCTTGAATGATTCGTTCCAAAGAAGCAAATCTTTAGAGTAAACATACTAAACTGAATCACCTCCTCAAGTGATTTGTTCATTTGTCACTTCAGTTGCGCTGTCAGTAGCGAGGAACGAGGGACCGCACTCGCCAATGACTGAATCACTTGGTGATCGACTCACTTGTTCAGATTCCAGAGTCATTTTCTCTGGAATCATTTTCATCTCAGGGATACACTTTCATGGCCACCGTTGTTCTCCATTGTTTTAACTGATTTCGTTCCCAATTAAACAAACTTAAAACGTTTGGCTGGCAGTAATGAGAAGAGAGTGAGACTCACCAGCTGTAGCAAGCTCTTGACAGGAGCGACGGAGAGAGATGGGTATGATCTGATCTGATCTGAATCCTGAACCGTCCAGCTGTGTATCAGATCAGCATTTGGCTCTTCCCGCTAAACGCTGAATGCTTCAGTGATTCGGTGAATGAATCTTTTGAATGAATCTTTTTAGTGAACTATTTCTAGTGATTCAGTACTTCTAAAAGAACTGCGGTGCCCCAGTGTAGTGATATCGGGTTCGATTTCAGTGTAGGTCAAGAGCAAGGTGGTGGGAAAATGAAAGAAGGCAGAAAATGGGTAAAACATCTTTCATTTGGCTTTTGTTGTGAAAGTTTCCACCGACGTTTCACAACAAATTCTGCTGATATTGGAAGCAGCCACGTCTTTAATCCACCAATCAAACATTTTCATGACTGCCAGGCCCTCCATTAAGATTTTTCTAGTTTTGAAAATAACAACCCCTTGGGCATGAATCTTTTGTGCGGTTGATTTAAATACCTCTGAGTCCACTTAGACCCTGATTCTGGCCATGAAAACTCAGTGAGTAGCCAAAAAAAGTTACTTCTCCGTGGGAAAAGTCAGTCCTTTTGTAGAAACGTAACCTTTGTTTGGCAAATTAAACATTTTAGAAGTATGGGAATGGGAACATGGGCTGTTTTTTCATGAAACTAGCTTTTTGATTGGGTCTGTTCCAGTTCGGAGGTCTGCATGATGGGATTCGCCCCAAACTGGTCATGTATGTTTAATGAAACAAGAGTGCAGTTTTAATGTCTGGAGCACTAAATGGTTCCTGTTACAAAGAACAGAGTCTGTAGTGGACCACGCTGAGCTTCTTATCCTTTCATTAGCTGCTAATGTACCGCATGCTTTATCATTAATTAATAAGCAGTAACCCTGAGCCTGACCTGTGCTGCATTAACAGCATTGGCACTGTCACCTTCACACCCTTCTGCTATATCCAATTTAAAAGTCATTACCGCATGTTTAAACCTTTTGTAGCTTTAATTTCGCCAACAGTTGGATCTCATTTCAGCTGCGGCTCTGAGGTGTCAGTCAATCAGGTTTCAGGACTACCTGCGACCTTTCCCGGCCCGCCTTTGGGCCCAGCCTGCAGGACAAGGAGGATCTGAGAGCGACTGACAGCTCGTTGGTCACGTCCGCAAACCCCTGCCAGCTTACCAAACCGAGCTAGAGGAAGCCTGAATCCATACCAGACACTCGGCTCCCTGCAGGGATACATCAGAGGTTTACAGCCGTGGGTGAGTAAGGTTTCTGTTTTACAGGGAGGATCATATCTGTCGTTTCAACGGCCCATTTCTTTTATTTACTTGCAGAGGAAAATGTACCCTTAAACCACAAATGCTGGCCATTGTTCAAGTGTGTATGATGGAATATTTGAGAGGAGATATTTCAACACTGCAGGGCTGACTGAACTCTGTGGTTGATGTGTAACACACTCAGGAGACCCTCCGCTCTGAAAGCCCCGACACGATCGTCTGGGGTTTGATTGATCATCAGAAAGTGTTTCATTTAAAGGGATAGTTGGCTTTTCTTTTTATATGGGGTTGTGTAGGGTAACTTCTTTGCTTTACATGGGCAAACTAACTGAGGTTGGTTTGAATGACGTACATATAATTACAATAGATGCTGGTCAGTTCTCCTCTTACACTACCAGGGGCACCAGGACACAAGCTGGCCTACAGCTGTCTGGAGATAGGGTCAGGTCTGCCATGTTATTTAGCTAAATTTGAGTTTGTGACCCCAATTTAAGCACTCACCTTGGTTCAAGTGTGAAATTTTCAGCACTTTACTTTGCCATCAAACCACCCAGTTGTTTTTTCACTATTTGCAGACACAGCACATATGTGCTCTACTGCCTGCGGCACACTGATCAGCTGTAAGAGACAAAAATGCAACCAAACTAGATGATGAGTTATTCTGACAGCACCGATGACGTACTGCTGACACCTGTGTTTTAGCCCACATAGACAGCAGATTAATCACAGCCTTCAAGTATGAGTTTTATTTTCTCATGAAATAATGACTCTGCTCTCTAAAGAGTGTTCCTTTTATCGATCAAATTAGCAAATGTATCCTCAAAGAAATGATTTATTCTTGTAGATTTACAACTTTAACTCTGTAAGAGTACTTCTTTACTGTTATAAATTTCCAATTTTTATAATAAATTTACAGGTTTAATCCTATCTATATTCAATTTAGCTTAATTCCCACATATCTTGGACCCAATTCTACAATCCTATGTAAGGAAAAGTAGCCTACTTTTAAGTTGGGTTGTTCTCTCTAATATCTTTGCTGATACTGTTCTGTTAATGCACGAGCAGGGTTTGCAGTCATAACTCTTTATTTACTGTCTTTTAATAGTCAAACAAACCATGCATAGAGATTTTTGGCCATAGAGAATATGAATTAAGGTTGATTTATCACACAGAATATACATTTTTCTCCCCCCTGCTTGCGATGTTGACATGTAGTTATTGTAAGACTGGTTTGTGCTCAAGTCCTCTTTTTTTTTGTACAACTCCATTTTAAAAGTTATTAGGGGGTTCATGTTTTCTATGATTGACACTTGATACAGCCTGTGGGCATACAAAGATGGCGTATGTCACCCGGGGGATAGGCTGTTTGAGCCGAGCATCATCACAGCGACTCGGCGACTCTCCCGCCGAGTGCGTACATCGCTACTGCGCAAGTGGTGGTTTCAGGAAATGGAAAAAACGCAGAATTACCAAGAGCTTTTGGGCTTCAAATCTGTCTACTGGCAGGAGGCGGGACCAAGTTGTCCGTAGTATATACAGTCTATGGTTGTGGCTATAGACGGGTTTCTTGTGTACAATCAATACTAGGTGCGCACGCAACCATGGGGCAAAAGCCTGCTTCGGAGTGAACTGATATTAATGAAGATGCTGTATTGTTTGCAAGTTGTTTTAGATGTTTCTAATATCAGGAGCAGGGTCGTAATGTTTGCTGATTGTTTGTTTTGCCTATTCATGCAGTTGACAGCACAACAGCTCCTTGTCATTTTGTTTCTCCGTTGTAAACAAATAAGAAATGTCCCGCTTTCTGCCCCCACCTGCGATGACATTGCACAGAAACCCATCTATTAAAAATCTCTTGCAGAGCTTTAACGCTCTAATATCATCTTTTTAAGTGAGACTGAAAAGTTGTTGCAAAACTTTTTTTTTTTTCAAGAAAGTAGAAAAAAAAAAGATTTTGGATGTGAAGCCACTCTCAAACTTTTTCCTATTTTCAGTTTTAATATAACTTTGAGACTTCTCGCTGGAGGTTGTGTGCGGAGATAATGAAAGCTAAACAGACTCCTCTTGTGTACAATGTCAATTTCAATTAATATGAACGAGTACGATATAAATTTTTGATGACAAAAAAAAAAACCCTGGAGTTTCATTTATTTTCGCTTCAGTGGGGAGCCTAGAGGGGGCGCTGTTTAGCTCCTGGTTCTTGCAGCGGAATACACATTTATATTTCTTACACACAAAGAGAGAGAGAGAGAGAGAGAGAGAGAGCGAGAGAGAGCATCAAGACTCCCTCACACATGTTTCATTGTCCCACAGTGCGGACAGGAGGATTTACCGGACTGCACCCTCATCTGAAAAACCGGATTTTGCTCTTTTGCTGCATCTGAACCGGATCATTTCCATAATCACGCGTGGGTCTGCACCGGCTTTGACTGAGCGACACCTGCTCTGCCTCTCTCTCACTCACACACACACTCTCACACATACACACACACACACACACTCTTTTGTCTGACATCTCTGCAGCCGGCAGCAACCCCAGCGAAGAAAACGAAGAAGAAGAACCGGAGGTGGTGGTGGAGGAGGAGGAGGTGGAGCGGGGTGTACCTGACACCTCCTGCCGCGCGTCGCTGCTCTCTTTCCCGCAGAGACACCCAGGAGCGTCTGCCTCTCCCGCTCGGTTGTCCGCGTGTGAGTTAACCGCACTCTCTATGGGGAACTCTTCCTGAAAACTCACTTTATTTAAAATAAAGAGCAACAAATTAATAAAAAAAGAAGATTCGTGAAAGAACTTAGTCATTAAAAAAAGAAACACGCAGGATTTTTCCGGACAGAAACTCAGAAAGGACTACTCCTCTCCAGAAGATGCGTCTCCCGGTGCTCCTCCTGGGTGTGTTGGGCTGTCTGTGTGCAGCACCGGGCCCCGTGGCTGCCGGAGCGGACAGAAGCTGCACCGACCTGCGGCAGTTCTACACCGGGAAAGGGTTCACTCTGGCTGGGGTACCACAGACTGAGATCTCCGGTGAGTTTGGAGACGAGAGTCAGACAGAAAACACATGATTTTCTGCATTTTTTTTTTTCACTAAAGCAATAATCCAGAGGTGTATTTGCTCATTTATCAATATAATGTGTATAATTTTATAGCTCTGTGCATGTCTCATCTGGAATTGAAACAAGATTTAAAGTGTGCCTATTGCTTCCTTTGGTTATTGCCTTATTGCTGGTCTGAATGAGGATTTTGATGCATACAAATCAGTCTGCAGCTGAATTGAAGTTTGCAGTTCAATCTGCTTGTTTTATTGTCCCAAAAGGCAGGTGTGCTTTCGCTCAGCACTTACAAACTCCTATTTTACACCCGCTCTCCTGAACACTGCACCAATCCTCAGTGAAGTGTCCCTCAGTCTGTATTTGTCCCTATTAGAGTCCTTTTCTGGGGCATTTTCATTGTCTGCTGAGAGGCAGAATTGCAGGTGGGTGTAAGCCATGTGCTCATGGATCCATTTAAGTCAATTCAGGGTAGTTACGGTTGTTTGCTGATGCTTGCACTGCAGGTGAGAACACAGTTTAATGTAAACTACAGCTAGAATATAGATCTGCCTCCTGCTTGAGGCTGCTGGAGCTCCATGTTGAATTGCAGTGAGGTACTGGTGTGTTGTGGGGCATTTTTCATTGTCTGCTCTACTGTGGACTGCAGGTGTGGTTGGTGTGTGTATTTCTGTGCGTATGTGTGTTGATAAAACGGCCTGTTTTGTCATCAGTATGAACTAGTAATCGAGGTTAGTCTAGCATGAGCTGGAGTTGTAAAGTTGAAAAAAGAGGGGGCTAATGAGAGGTGTTTCATCCTCTTGTCAGTCAGTGAACCAGCTGAGCATTCAGGCAATTATGCATTTAATCAATCAGTCAGTTACACAGCCTGTCAAGTAATCAATCAGCTCCACAGTCAGTCAGTCAAGCAACCAACCAGGCAGCACACATCAAAGTGTGTGGATCTTGTCTATGTGGCTGCTACTCTTCCTCCTCCCAATGATTAAACTGTCTCGGCCTTGAGGAGAGCAAAGATTGAAGAATTGAGTTGTTTCCACCTTAAAGGCGATCATGTGTGGCCCCGTGTCTCCGCCTGTATTTCAAGACGTGGAGAAAAACTGACCTCAGCTCGCACAGGGTGGGCTGAAAGGGAGGCGAGATTGAGGTGTGTTCAGTGTGAAGGTCATTTCATGTTGTGTCAGTGAAAATAATCCTGTACGGGCGGGCGAGGTATTAATATTGGATGTGTCTGAGTGTGTAGGTGTGGGCGTGCGAGGGAAATGGAGATCAACAAACTCATGAGAGGGAGGCAGAGACAGAGAAGAAGTGAGTCACTCAAGGTCTCTGTCTGCGCTTCATGGACGGCTGAGGAGGAGCCACGACGTGACACCCGTGCCCCCCTGTCCATTAAAAACTCATCTTTTATTGACAGATGAAAAAACACAATGCTTCACTCACTTGGACCTTGATCTGCTCCACTTATTTCAGCAGGAGCTCTGCCTCCCCAGAACCCATTAACACTGACAACCAGATAGGAACAGAAAGATGGCGGCTGCTCGCGAAATTCCCCAGAATATCGCTCAATCTGTCTCATTTCGGAGAAGCAAGGTCTTTGAATTTAGCTTTGACCCAGAGGGAGAAACAGACTTCCCACGTACGTACGCCTCTGTTGGTCTCATCCTGGAGGCTGGGACGGTCCCCTGAGATCCCCATATATGAGAAACTGTGGCTCAGCTGTGTTTGAACCTGAGAAATCATCAGGTAGGAGTCCTGTTTTGAGTAGCTTGAATGACTCACCTGCCAATTAACATATTTTAATCTTCACAGTGAATCACCCTCGTCAGTTATACAAACATTTCCAAGAACGAATCTACAAGGTTAGCTACTTTCCATTCACAGCTTTCTGTTCATCTGTCCGCTGTGAAAGGTTCAAAGAGACTGATTTGATTTAAAAACGTACAGGAGGCTCATCAGAACTTTCATAACTATTCATGAACTCTTGAAACTGAAGAACCAGATCACTCAGGATAGATTTTAAAGAGACGTGGGGTTTAATTTTTTCTCAAGAGTTGTTATTGATAGGGAAATGCACCAAAGGAAAATGTTGAAGTAGTACATGCAGTTTTCATTAGCAGATAATAAACCCAGGTGTCATAGAGCATTTAAATACAGCGCAAAGTTTAAAAGATACAACCCAAAAGCAACAGCAATGAATGACAAAATTAGGGCTGGTTGATAAACTGAAAATTTACTGATACCAAAATTTACGATAATAACTGACGTCATTTTGCCCATCTCAATATATTCGGTGTCATAAAAATAAATAAAAGTTGGTTGGGATGTGTGTAGGTAGGCTATGGTCTTATGTCCCTTTAAGATGCTGTCCTACATCAGAGACGTGACTCCACCCCATCCAGTCCATAACAAGATGGAGGACAGTTCAAAAGTTGTAGCGGCTTGAGCGCCAGCTGAAGTAGATGAAGTTAATGTGGGAGGGGGTGAGCAGCTTGTGGAGTAGTTATCGTCCATTTATCGTTATCCAGGTGAACTGCTCAATATATTGTGATATTGATTTGAGGCCATATCGCCCGGCCCTAGAAGAAATCACGACACACGGATATACTTTTTATTAAAAAACAATATTTTCATAACAATGTGACAAAATCTGCAATATAACAATTACTATCACTTTGTCCACAGGGGGCGCCAGAGTCAACACAGGCAGAAAGTTCCTCAGAGGAGCTTTAATTTGAGGCTTTCTCATTCATAGGTGACTAATTTCTTTAAATTAAGTGCCAAAATTTATCCCAAAACACTTTTCAAAAAGAGCAGGTCTGGACCATAGACTGTATATAGAATGGACGTCGTCTGCCTCCTTGCTGGGTGAAGCCACAGTGAGAACAGCACCCTCTGGTGATGGGCTGCAGTATAGGTCATAAACCCCAACTCCTCCAGCAATTCCTATGGAGCTGTGGACAAACTTTAGAAATTAATTAAAAATTCGTATAGTGGCAAAGGCGGAACCAAGTTTTCCATAGTGTATACAGTCTATGGTTTTGAACAGATACTCTTGTCATCCACAGAGAACGAACATTAATCCATCATAGAACTAGAGAGTGGCAATATTTAGGCGCAGTTGCATTAAAAACTTCATTTTAACAGGCAGGATTCTTTAATCGAAGTCGACGCCTGTTGAAAAACTGTCTGATGAGACTGAATGGGCTGAAAAATGGGAGAGAAAGTGAGTCATTCAGAGGCAAACACACATTTCTTTAAAAATACTGTGAATATGAAGGAGATCTAACCTCCTAATAAAGTTTTTATTTGCTTTCATTTATTCATTTCACTATTCTGAAAACAGTCATAAAAACAAGTTGCTTTCTAACATTCAGGTTGAGTTTATTTCCCATGAACAGTCTTTCAGCCCCGTGGCCATACAGACGCTCATTTTGAGAAACAAAGCGTCTCCTGATGTTTTGGGACAAGATCTAACTGCACATGATACGCGTTATCTGCAGAGCACTGGAGAAGGTTACTTGAGTTTACTGCCGAGTCTCAAGAACACATGCACAGTAATAAGGCTGGAAAACAGGCCTAGTTTCGATTTACAGCAATACATCCTCTAAAAGCTCAAAATTATCGACATGAAACTATCAAAACTTTAAATTTTAATGCTTTTTTCTCCTTTTGAGTATTCAGTTTTATCATCCTTTTTTATTATTTTCTACTGCAGACACTTTTAATACTTCTGATTTGATATTAAGCCCGTCTCAGGTCAGGCGGGCAACTACAGCGCAGTCTGGCATGCGCAACATCCAAGAAATTCAGTCAGCCCTGTGAATACACAACACAGCGCCAACACAAACACAGCAAAATCTCCGCGCAGGAATGTTGTTATTGTGAATGCAGGCAATGAATTTCGATTTTTAGCGAGTAAACTCTGGCAGCATCCAGGAATACCAACACGTCATACATCACTGGCGTGCAATTAGATGTTGCATGAGGAAAAGTACTGCAAGCCAAGCAATCAGAATGCTCCATCTGCTCTTCTTTTCCTCTCCTCAGTCGAAGCTCAGCATTTTCAACTTCGCTTTAATAGAATAGAGCTCAGACATTTGCATACAGATACGGAGAGGAAGTCTGGATATATACAGTAAACGAAAGCACGAGGAAAGTACAGAGAGACGGGTGTGTATTAGATCTGGTAGACAGCCCTGATAGGAAATGCATGTTTCTATCAAGTCTGAACAGGGTGTGGGACCTGTATCAGTAAGTGGATATGATCAATATCATAATCCAAAGTAAACTGTGTGTAATCTGATAAGATGATGCTCTTAATTCCTTCCCAGAGTTTTAAAAAAGCTCCTTTTCTTCCCTCTCTGGGCTCACACCTATTGTCCCTCAGCCGCATGTGAATGGAAGTCGTCTTTCCTGCTGTCTGCCCGTCTGTCTTTGTGCCTGCGAGCGCTTTAACTCTCTCATTGTGTCCTCTACCTGGTCAATAGTTAAAGACTCACTCGCCCTATAGTGTGTGTGTGTGTTTAGGAGTCAGAGAAAGCCAACACCTTCTCCAGGGAAGACACTTGTGTTTCATTCAGACATGCATTGTCAGAGCAGAGCAGCACACACCCATGTGATCGTATGACAAACTGAAACAGAGAGGGACTGTATGTCCTGCACGCTTCATGTTCTGTACGACGAGCTATTGAGTTTTGACGCCTGTATGTGCGTTTTGTAGCCTATATATTGAGTGTTTGTCACGTTGTTGTCTGTTTTTTAAAAGGGCTGCAGGAAGGATGTGCTGCTGAATGACAAAGCTGAACATGATCCTCTGTGTTTGAGGTCAGATTACCTGTAGATTAGATACATTACAGGTTTGGTTACAAGTCAGCGCTGTTAAACAACACTCAGTCAACCTGGGAGCTTTCATGCATCTACATTTACATTTAGTGCTGTTTCGCCCACGAGGGATGCAAAATTACCTGTTGTAGGCAAATTTTCTTCCAAGTAAAGCACACAGTTATAAAACTAATTTCCATAAACATCCATCTTTGTTGTACAAATCTAGTAAAGGGGCATGTTAACCATTGTGTCGCATCACTTCTTCATTTAACAACACTCTGTAAAGTTGTGAGAAACAATTCTTGATGATTTCAGCCGCACAACAGTTCAGGGTCTGTCTGCAATGAAGCAACCGGACTCTTCTACTACAGAGCCAAGCTTTTGTAATCCATGTAAAATATTTTATGTAATCTCTTTGCTGCCCAGGCTTGGCATGTCTGGATTAGAGGTATATGTTCCTTTAAAACCTGCAGATTGTTGAGCATTAATGGTATTTTCCATTTGCCTTTGACCATCTTGAATGGACTTGGGTTCAGAGAAGTGATTTTAGTCGATGCGGTTATTTCCACTACAGAGTCATCACTGTTGTTAACGCAGTGCTGCCTACTGGCCTAAAGATCAGGACCAAAATAAATTAAGTGCCAAAATTTATCCAAAAACACTTTACAAAAAGAGCAGGTCTGGACCATAGACTGTATACAGAATGGACGCTGTCTGCCTCCTCACTGGTCGAAGCCATCACGAGAACAGCACCCTCTGGTGACAGGCTGCAGTATAGGTCATAAATCCCGCTTCCTCCAGCAATCTCTATGGAACTATAGACTAACTTTAGAAATGTCTTACACAGACTATACATTTTTCTCCCCCCTGCTTGTGATGTTGACATGTAGTCCCTGTAAGACTGGTTTGTGCTCAAGTCCTCTTTTTTCTGTACAGTTCCATTTTTCAAAGTTATTAGGGGGTTCATGTTTTCTATGATTGACACTTGATACAGCCTATGGGCGTACGAAGTTTGCATAGCTCACCTTGGAGATTTGTTGGCTGTTTGAGCTGGGAGTCATCACAGCGACTCTCCTGCCGAAAGTGTACAACACTACTGCATGTTGGTTGTTGGTTTCAGGAAGTGGAGAAAATCCTGGGAATACCAAGAGCAAGTTGGCCTCAAAGCGAAACCAAGTTGTCCATACAGTCTTTGGCCATGACTATCCAGTGTCAGCTGTCAGTCTTGTCCCTTACTTTAATGAGATTTCTCTTAAATTTTCTGTATCTTTTTAGGAAATATTGCTCTGTGGTTGATGAAATCTTTAAAGTCTCAGGAATATTTTTCCTGAAATGGCTGAACTATTTCCTCACCCAGCCTCTCTTAGAGCTGTGAACCTCTTCTCGTCTTTATTTCTGAGAATTTCAGCCTCTCTGGAGTTCCTTTTTTTTAAACCCTGTCATGGTAAGAAGTTGTTGCAAATTGATGTAATTAGTTCGGAGATTTTCCTCCGGGTGTTTCCTAGAGCATGACTCAACTTTTTTGGGGGTGTTTTGTAGCTCTCGTCTCAACTGTTTTGAAATGTATTGCTTGATTCAGCTGAGACATTTGGGCCCAACCAAAAGAATAAAACTTTTTATTCAATAACACATGTGGAGTAGGGCTGCAGCTATCGATTATTTTAGTAATCGAGTACTCTATCGATTAATCTGTCGATTAATCGAGTAATCGGATAAGAAATGTTTTGCTCTCACTGTAATACTTTGCATTGAATCACGTTTGCCTCATTAAAAACCATCAGTAACACACAAAACTGAAATAGGACAGGTCTTTCAAATGAATATTTTTACTGCATAAATCAGGAACCAAAAGTTTTACATTTTACCATGTAGTTCACATGAAACTACTGAAGGCAAGGTCTGCAGATGGTCTTTTAATTGCTATGGTAATGATCTTTGCAGTTTTCACTAAACCAGTCACAACTATTTCCAGGCTTTGGATCTAATTTTACTTGTTTAATTAATAGGCTGAAATAATATAATTCTTGGATACTAACATAATTTGACAAGCAAATGTACATTTATTCAATATATAAAAGTGTTACATTTTTATTTACATGTTGTTGTGTGTTGGTCATTTTGCAGCCCTCTGCTGCTCATCACACGCCTAGCAGGTGGTGTATAGCATTATCACCATGGATACACGGATGTTTGTGTGATTTTTTTCATCCACTGCCGCCCGGTTTGTGTCGTGTAGATGTTGATTATGAAAACACTTCGCAATAATTTGGAAACGTGAAGGGGGAGCTGCTGCTGCCCGGTGTTTACGGTAAATAGACGCAAACACCGACCAAGCGGACGCTTCGGTCTCCGAAAACGCCGAGACAAATTTACAAACAGCCACTATTTCAAACAACTGGGCTCATAATCGTGATGTAAACACTTACTTTCTCGCTAGAAAAAATATTATTATTGAATGAATTTATATAATTTGTCCGGTATGCAGTCGTTCTATGTAGCTTGTGGTAGGACTATTTAAATTTTCCCGGCGCTGCGTCCGGCCGGCACGAAATGCATTCTGGGGTATTTAGTATGTATGTGTGTAAACGCTCGGGCAGCCGCGGCATACTCAAATCATCTTTGAGTAGTCAGTAGGCAGTAGCTACTGCTTGAGTAGGTAAGTAGATAGCAGGCAGTATGCCATTTCGGACACAGCTTCTGTCTGTCCTCGTTTCCCTCCATGATTGAACCAAACGCGCGGCAGCGGAAGGAGCGGAAAGAGCACGCTTCTGCGCAACAGAAATAACCGTCCGTGTCAAACACCGTGCGCTGCACATGGTTCCGGATTTAAACGATTCCTCGAGGCATATAATTTGCCTCGAGGAATTTTATTAATCGAGTTACTCGAGTTACTCGAGTAATCGTTTCAGCCCTAATGTGGAGACTAGAGCCACTTTCGATATCTTCACGTCACTTTTTTATTGTGGAAAAAGTTTTCATCTTTGTTACATCCAAAGTTTTATTGTTGCAGCATTTCTCAAAAATGCTGTGCATGTACAGTCAAATCGATAAATATGTTCTCCCAATTTGCAGTGTGCTGAGCTCTCAGGGCCATCTCACTCTGGGAACCTTGCATTGATTGCTAACCATGACCAGCAGCTGCAGCCTTACATTGACGAACACGATAGTGCTGCACAATTCAGGTTGAGTTTTCTGAACTTAAAGGACAATAATAGAGCTTAAAATTTCACATCCTCCTGCAAGGTGGGCCTCACTTTTGACCGATATCATCTAAAATGATAAAAAACCTAAGAGTGCCCACTATCTGCTCAAGGAAATTGCATGTACTGTATGTACTCGAGCAGAGCATCAATATTTGAGGCTTTACCTGCAGCTCATCCACTGCTGTTTGCTCGTATCTGCCCACAGTATCCTGTCAGTGAAACCCTTCAGTGTATGAGCTTTTACGCCTGTGTGCCAGAGAGGAAATTGATACTGTCTGTCATCTGTCACACATCACATGCTCAGTCAGGCGCTCACAGAAGAAGTCGCCAAGTGGAACGCTGAATACCCAGTCCACACAGACACAGAATAACACAGCGCATTTCTTTCTAATCCTCTTCAACTTTTGCTCCGCTCCTCCTTTCTCTCTTCGTTCTTGTTGTCTGTCCTATTCTTGCTTCCATCTCTGCATTGTTTTTCAAGACAGGAGCAGATCTATGAGTGCGGGGTTGTGCCTATAAAAGTGTGTGTGTGAGAGAGAAAGAATGAGGGGAGGGGTCTGGTTGGCAAGATCTGTTAAAAGCAGAGCTGTGAATCTTTCATGATGTCTGATGCAGCGACATAAGAGAGACACAGAGATAGAGGTGAGGAGGAGGAGGAGAAGGAGGAGGATGTGAGTGGAGGAGTCCAGAGGAAAGATGAGAGAGAGAGAAGGGAGGAGGCTCTGTCCTGGTTACCTTAACTCAGCCGTCACTCCATCCTCTTCCACAGAGGTGAACCAGGCGGGGGCTACATCCACTGAATCTGGTATTTTTTATGACAAACAGAAAACATGAAACACGAAAAATGTTAAAAGTCATTTGCCCAAAAATTAAAAGAAGCGTCCTCCAAACTGGAGAGCAGACGATCCTAAAAAAGTCAATTAAAAGGTAACCATGGATTCCCAAAAAGGTCGAAGAAAATATGATTGAAAATCTTATAATGTGTAATATTTACCTATCTACTGTTAATGCTGGCATCTCTGTCCCGCTCCTTGAATGCTTCAGCAGCTCTTTTGTTACATTTGTTAACACATCTATCAGTCCTCAGCCTAAAAGCTTTTTCTTGTAACATTCATAGTCGAACCATGCTGGCTCCAAAAGGCATGAAGAGTACAAGTATTAGGCTAACATTAGGTAGGCTGGATAAACAGGGACGTGTTAGAACAAAACAGCAGAACAGCGTGATGTTTTATGTTTTTGCTCAGACAAATGGCGACGTAAGATGCTGTTTTTTCTTTATTTTTCTGTCTTCATCTGCTGCTGAGTGTCTCTTGACTGTATAGCATTTAAAGGGATATTCCGGCGTAAAATTAAGTTAAGGTCAAACACTCCATAACACTGAGTTAGACACCCCCTCGAGAGATGAATGTGGCTGACTGCTTGCGTCTCTAGTTATACCAACTTTAGTAACAACTAAACTTCATCAACAGTACATATAGGGTCCCAGCCATCAAACATCTTTTTAGCCTTGCTTGGTTTCTTTAGCAAAGAGACTAAACACAACTCACCCACTCTCTTCCAGCAGCTGCTTGTTTGTTTGTGAGCCCTGACGAGTCACTTACCGAGTGCAGTGGAGTTTCGCAGCTCAAGGAAGAACATTTATGATCATTACTTCATGGAAATGCAATCAGGCCAAGACACTCAGGCAGAAGAACTACCACGTCTGCAGTGCAAAATGATTATTATGACGATTATTACTTCAAGGAAATGATTCGCCCTAATGACCCTAACTTAATTTTATGCTGTAATATCCCTTTAAGCAGCCATGAAGTATGAATTTAAAACAGATTAATGACATAGACAGTTACGTTTTTGTTCCTGAATCTTCGAGACAAACTTCAGAAACTTGATGAATTATCAGGAGTATCATCCCAAATTGCCGTTGCCTATCACGAGTAGGGATGGGCGATAAATTATCACTCAGGATTTATTGTCAGAAAATTCTTTCTCGATAAATATTTGCCATCTCAAGATAAACGCGGTAAATGCAAGTTAATGATGTAAGTGCAAGTGATGGACTCGCGGTGAAGAAGACGTTTATATAAATAAAGGGGATTGTGACGCATATTTGCACATATTTCTTCTGTTTTTACCAAGAAATGTCAGGAAACTTCAGAGGAAACGTGAAGAGTTGAAGCGTATTGATAAATTAAACTCAGCCCCACATTTATATTCTTTGTGTGAACCCATAGCTGTTATCCTGAATGACTGGGGTAAAGGCCAAATGCTTAAACTCCTCCAAGGCCAACATGTAATCAAGTATCTGATGGATTACAGGGAGAGAGTCTCACAGCGCTGAATCCTTATGAAGACCATGTAAGAAAGGCCTCGGAGTGGTAGAGAAGAAACCAAGCGGCCAAAGCACAAACCGTTGGATGCCTTCACATCAATCTTTGCTCCTAAAAATCAATGTGGTACAAACCCGTATCGTTTCTCGATAACCTCTGTCTTCTTCTTTCCTCTGCATCCCTCCCCCTCGCTCTGGTTCACACCTCTCTCTCTCTCTCTCTCTCTCTCTCTCCCTCTCCTCTCTTTAATGCCTGCTTCCTCCTTCTTATCAGCCTCTATTTTTACTTTCTCCTCCTCCTCCCAGCCTCCCTCTCATCTTTCCCCACCTCTCTGGGAGTTGAGCGTCCATCTGTTTTCCAAATGAGAAGATGAGCTGTTTGTGTGATGTGGTGGGCTCGGCGGTTGCCTGGCTGCTTTATGAGTCAGTGCACTTCATACATATGCTTCATAGGGCCCTTTAGACGCTTGGTTTCAGTGTAAATGTGTGTGTCTGAATAGAGCGGATGTGTATTTATTCGTAAAACAGGATACTTTACGCTGAACTGGCTATTCTGGTAGCTGTTGAGCTGATTCACCGTCATCAATAGAATACTGAACGGTGTTATATGAAGAGAAAATTGCAGCTTTTTACGGTTAAAAGACCGTTAAGTCATGTGCTGTTATGTGGTCGATAATTAATAATTTTGAAGCAAAAATCACAAGTTTTGGGATTTGGCATTAAAAAGAAATGAGCAAATAGAGACAAATGACTGTAGAATAATTCATATGACACTAAATGTTATCTGGAACCCCCACATTAATTTGCAACAGATTAATTCCTGCCAGAAAAACAGATAAAACAAGGCAGCCTTGTTGTTTTCCAATTTCATTTTTAATTGTGTTCAATTTACCAGACAAGCACGAGTAATGAGCTGAATATTCACCAGTTTTATCCTAAAACTGAACATATGGGTGTGCTGTAGCCCGCTGTGCAGTAACAAGCCTGCGCGTCTTTTAATTTGACACAGTTTTAATAACTTCTTATGAGCGTGAATGGAGTCGACAGGAGTGGATGAGTTGAGTCGGTTCACAGCGCCGCACATTAGCCGCCGTGCGTCGTGGTTTGTAATTTCAGGGAAGGACAAGAACGTTGGGGTTTTCCCTTTAACGGACATATTAGGGAATTCACAGTGATGCATTACAAGTCCTCCGAACGGCTGATTACTAATAATTGGTTTTAACAAGGATTAATGGGATGGTTGTAATTCAGGGTTCAAGAGCAAAATGAACACGGGGGCTTAAAAAAAGTCACAAACGGCTGATTTTACACAGAATACTAAAGTCGTTCTGTCGGTTTGACACGATGAAATCAAACCTCTCAAACTCCAGGATCATATCAGATATGAACAAGATCACTTGTGTGCATTTGCATAATGAGCCAATTATTCTCACTTGTGTAATTGATGCACTCTCAGCTGCCGGTACAAATGACACTGTGAACTACGCTAACAACAAATCTGCTCTTCTGATTATGAAGCGTCCTTCAAAATAACTGAACAAACGCCACAGCTGTCGTTGGGTGAGAGGTGCGGTGAATCCCGGACAGGTCCCGAGTCAATAACAAGGCTGACACATGCAGGGACACACACACACACACATACACACACACACTCCAACCCTCAGGCAATTCTGAGTCACCAATTAACCTAATGAGCAAGTCTTCGGACTGTGGGAGGGAGGTGGACTACCCACGGCGCCACAGCCTATGCATGCATGAGGAGAACATGAAAAAGCCACACAGATATGAGCTTATCGATGCAAACCACTGCACCACCATGCTGCCTCTGAAAAGACATGATTTATCCTGTTTATCCACCTAAAATGAATTCACATCTCTAAACTTTAAAGACCCCCTCTGATGAAAATCGTGTTTTTCTTGTTGTCTACATGTTCATATGACATTTTTCTGACTCTACAGGACATAGCATGAGAAAACTAAGTGTGACATTGCCTTTCTGAGTATTTCTGCGTTTAAATCTTTGTGAATCTCTTGTAGACCCAAACAGCAGGCACAGATAGAGGGAGATTTCTTACATCACAAATCCAAGCTCCGCCCCTGGAGCGCTGCTATGCAGGCCTAGGAACAAGCGTGTGCGTTAGCGGATTGCAATGCCCGTAAGAAAGCTAACTATGATATTAGCTTTCATCATGCCCCCAAAGACAAAGCTTCTATGTTACCTGCTTCCCCAACTACACCGGCAATTTTAGGTTACAAGCTAGCATGAAGAGGAGTGTGCAGAGGAGCAATGTTTCCGCCCACGACTCAGAGGCGAATTGCTAATGAGCTACTGGAGATTTGCAGAAGAAAAGCCCTTGAAAATGACACAGGTAATGTGATTTTGGCTAAAAAACTTAATAAATCTAGGGTGACCATTCTGACTTCCCTTCTAACTCAGTAAGTCCACATGATACAAACTTGAAACTTCCGTACCAAACTGCAGACATTTGAAGGATTTTATAAGCTTCCCCAAACAAAACCAAACAAGCCCGGATAGCTCCCCAAAAAGAGGACATGTCCGGATAAAAGAGGACGTATGGTTACCCTATCATAATCAGAATTTAAAGACCACTGATAACACTTTCAGTACTAAAAAAAACAATCATAGTTAAACTTTAAAGTGCTGCCACCAGTGCACTACTGTAGCCAACAGAGATGTGTGAATAGATACTCCAGTGATGAGCGGCAGCCCTGAGCTTGACTGCTCGGTTCAAACATTGTGTTTTGCAGATGATGTGCTGATGTCAAACCCTGGTCTAGAACCCACAGGATGCATGAGCTGACACTTTTTCAACAGAGCCAACGCCCTGTAGGCATCAAACCTAACACAGGATATATACCTGGACAGGAAGTCAAACGTTTTCAGTGAACGGTACATACCACCCTGTCACTCCTGAAACAAAACAACAAATGAGAACAGATGAGAAATACTCATGATGTACATGTCAACACAAAACACCCACATGAAGAAGAAGAAAATGCACACAGTTACTAAACAACTTTAAAATCATGATACGATTCAGGATTGATACTCTCCAGGTGCAGTCGGGGTTTCCAGTCCAAAGAATTTAACAGTCAAATTAGAAAGTTAAATAAATGACAGGCTGCTCTTGTTAAATGTTGTGCGCAGTCGCCCTGGGAGACATTACATTGTTACAGCCAATCACACAGCTAATCACACAAGTGTTTTCCTTGAATCCCAGCAGGGTTTTAATGCCTTTTATAGCTTAAAGAGTCTCTTAAGCGGAGCCTTTAAAGTATCTCAGTGCCTCTGTACGATGGAGGGTGTTTGATTCGGTTGGAGTGTCTTAACTTGGAGGGCATCAGAGCGCTGATAGGATCACTGATTGAGAGTATTATCAGAGGTAGATCTCGTTGAGTCTGACTGGATGTCTTTTGGCATGTGGATCCGGCACCACCCCGACAGGTGAGGGAGATTTGGCACCTGTTTCAGCAGGCTGTGTCACCGGTGTTACATCACATGTGAATAGAGAGCGAGAAGGTGATTGATTTTAATGTTTGGGAGCTGATTGAAGAAGGTCAAATCAATACAGGTTCACGCTGCTGCATTCACCTGAATCCAAGCGTCTTGGCGTTGAACACACTCGTGCACGTAAACACACACATTCATCAGCTGCCGTAGAGATCCTGTTAGGTGTCGTTAGTTAATGGGAAGCCTCAGACTAAATCCAGCAGGATCTCACACATCACAGCGTGTCTCCTCGTGTGTGTGTGTGTGTTCACGTGAGGCTCAGACACAGGCCTATTAATAGACACGTTGACGAGAAAATCCAAAGTCTGTGCACGTCCGCTGTGTTTGTGTTTCTGTGAACCTTCGTGAGCTTCACACCGCCGGTCTTATCAGCTCAGTTTTTATCATTTTAACCTCCCGAGTCTCGGCTCAGAGGCTATTTCCTGTTATTTTTATTGTTATCTTTTATGGCATTTCTGCTTTATTACATAGTTTGCCATCGGGACTGAGAAGTTTATTTCACGGAGGTGGCGAACTGCATAAAATGGCTCCTTGGCTCATAACATTTTAAAGATACAGTGAGTGAGTCATTTCCTGACGATACACCGGGTTGTCTGTATGAGTTTTAGAAACATAGCTGACTTTGTGCTGCAGCTCCTGGGCAGCGCTTACATACCTCTGCCCAGAAGGATCATGGGAGATTTGTAATAGATGTTCTATTTATTTAGCATAAACTGTAATTATCTGGTGCATGTTAAAAAAAGGCGTGGGCTGACAGCAACTCAAACAAATACCAGACTGATCATCCCAACTACTCACTCTGAAGGGGGAAACTTGATATTGTTGTTAATGGACTTCTTACTGTCAGACAGGTCTCCAGAAGAAAATAATCCAATGAAACAACATCAAATCAGAGCTGTGTCAAACTGAAACAGAAAAATAATCTACTCAAGGCTGAAATCTTTGCTTCTCAACTCTTTTGAGTCATGTTTCCTTCTTTAAAACACAAGTTTAAACATTAATTACTTTCACTTTTTAGTTACACTTGGAGTGCAGTAGACTAGGGCTGAATGATACGTCCTCGATGTAATAATTACACGGCAGTCATCTTACCTGAAACACATCATGCTGTCATTGTTGCTGGCTGTGCAGGATTTATCTCCAATAAACGTCCGTCTGAGATCACGCTAATGCAGCCCCTCACTGGGAAAGCTGTGTCGGCAGTGTCAGTATCTGTGTGTCACATAAATGTCAAGGTGCATCAGAGATATCTCTACGGTCGTGATTACAAGATAGGGTCTTCACTTGTCTGAGTGCGCATTAGCATCAGGGGCGCGCACAGACTGTTTAACTATCTTTTAGTGCCTACACCTGCAGTACGTGTAGACTAGAGTAGTTTTGAAGTCAGATTAAAAAAGGTGGAGAGCTTTTGCTTAGTTAGAAAATCACCATCACGCCACTGGACGGTTATTTTCTTCACCAAAACGGCGTCTGTGTCACTCAAAATCAAAACCAGGTTGTAGTACCAGTTGTACAGTTTGGTGGAAGAGGGAAAACTTCCTTATGTTGGATTTCAGGCTTTTGATTGCAGGTCCAATCTGTGATAAATTGCACTGGTGTGTGAGATGAAATCTAAATTTGGGGGACCCCAGATGGAAAAAGGTTCGAACTGTATCCCGCCAAATTTTCAAGAACAAAACATGCCGTTTCTGTGCAAATGTGAAGCTGTCTGTACCATCTGTTTTTGTCACCAGTAGGCTACCTTAGCTGAACAACAGTGGTTGTAAGGTCTGAATAAATTCAGGTATCTTGAGTTGAACAACCTTTTCAGTCTAATCAACACTCTGCAAGATGTGTTCTCTAAGTATGTCGTGAGTTTCTCTCACTATGTGAAGTGTTTTTGTCTTATTTCAAGGAAAAACATGTCTTGATTGGTTTGATTTAAGACAAATTCACCCGACTAGTCCAGGAAAATGTTTTGTTTTGAGATGCCAAAAAAGAGATCTGAATAAACAGTAATGAGTTGAATAAAATTCTGCCAATGAAATAAGAGGAAAATACTTTAAAGTCTCTTGAAACAAGACTTTAGTAGAAATTCTCTCAATACAAAAGACTTGAAAAGTGCATTTTTCTCATTCCTTTGGCAGATGTTTTTCTTTCTTACCACAGGCAGTGCAGATCATGTTTTTGTGTTTGTATCATTTGGAAATAAGACTTTTTCTCTGAAAGTGATGAGAAATAAAAAACCTAATAAGACTACTTTGTTAGAAATAAAACAAGATTTGAGTTTTTTGTTTGCTTTGATTAAGTATAAAAGGACGGCTTGTTTTAACCCAAGTTTTTTGGCAAATGTTTTTATCAATTCTTTTGTTTGCTCAGTTCTGGAGTTTAGGAACACCATGAGTCTCTGATCTGTTTGGTTGTTTTTGCCAGGAATTAATCCAGTATGAGGACAGGATGTAATTGATACCTCAATTTTAATGTCTCAATAATTGCTGGAGTAAATTCACTCCCAGCTAAATCTGGATATCTGTCTGTAGTCGTCACGTGGTGGAAAGTAAAGTGGACTCTTGCTGCTGGACAAAAACTTCCTTCACATTCAAACCTTCGATCCAGAACCACGTGGCTTTTTTTCCCAGCAGATGTGATTAGTCGGTCATTTCCACATCTCATTCAGCTTCTCCGTTCTGACACTGAGGACTTGACCTGGAAAAGGCTGTGACCCAATGTTTCCCCATCCGTGAGGACTTAATGCTCCCTGCTGAGAAAGCCCCTTTTAACCCCCTCCACCACGCTGCTCACATTCACATCTTCCCAGCTCTCACCTTCCCGTCACCACCAACAACACTGCGCTTTTGGATTAGGGCCTGATGTCTAATCTCGTGCTAATCCTGGTCTGTTAATCTACGTGTTAGAGGTCCTTAGCTCACAGCATGATAGCACTACGCGCTGACCTTGCCAGCGAGGGGATAACACACATCTCTCTTGTGTTTGTTTCTGTTTGACCCTTGCTCTTATTCAGCTTGTTAGAACTTGCAGAAAACTCTCATTATTTCCCAGGACTTCTGAAATCTCACAGGGCGACACAGTCTTCTGTTTACTGTCAACTGTAAATAAAGGCTAATCCCTACAGTCAAAGATAGCTGACTTGACCCTTGACCTCTCCAGATTTAATCCACATACTTGAACAAATGTGCACAGTCAGGCGTTGGCTGACTCTCTCTCAGTGTGGCACACATCAGCTGGCACGTGGTGTGCTTTTTTACAAGGCTGAGCGAAACGGAGTAAAACTAGTAGTTAGTTTAAGATCCTTTAACTGCTCCCAGAAATTACATAGAATTATAGTATTATACGCTGGAGTTGGTGCCATGCGAACACACACATGCACAAACATACACGCTCAGCAGGCAGCAGACAGGGCTGGTCTCGGAGGTGGTGGGGTATTTTTGGCTCGGTAACGGTATAAAATAAGTAATGGTTGACCAAAAACACAGTTTGTCTACACCTCTCTCTGCTTCTGCTTCTGTCTTAATACTATGCCTACTGTCAATGTCACATTCTTGCTATTTGCACCATTTTCCTCCCTTTTTTTCACAAGTCTGGTCCTAAGATATTCAAAGCCTCAGCAAATACTATTTTTAATTCCTCACTGCACGCCTGCTCTTGGTGCTCGGTAACAGTGAAAACAAAGAGGAACTTATTTTGTAGTTTCTGAAGCACAGTGAGACAAAACTTTATTTTCAGCTGTGTAATGGCAAAACTGATCAAGGTTTAGATTGAAATACCATCATCATTTTGCCCATATCAATATATTCAGTTTCAAAAAAATAGATAAATAAATAAATAAAAGTTGGTTTTGGATGTGTGTAGGTAGGCTATGGTCTCATGTCCGTTTAAGATGCTGTCCTACGTCGAAGACATGACATCCAGTCTGTAACAAAGAGGGAAAGACAGATGAGGAGATGGAGGACGGCTTAAAAGATGGAGCGGCTGAAGTAGACAAAGTTAATGTGGGAGGGGGTGAGCAGCTTGTGGAGTAGTTATTATCCATTTATCGTTATTGAGGTGAACTGCTTAATATAGTGTGATATTGTTTTGAGGCCATATCGCCCAGCCCTACCAGAAACCCTCTAATAAAGATCTGAGTTCAATCTGCTGCCAGGCCCCTAACAGTGACCAGACTCACATCTTTCACAGGCTGCAGGGATTGGAGTAGACCATATTGAAGACTATCTTTGCACAGTTTGGTTCGGTTTTTGTTTTATCATAACCAAAGTCACTGTAAAGAAACTGTCAGCATCTCCACTCTCAGCTGCGCAGAGCTGCACTCTGTGAGCTCTTACCCGGAATATGCTCAAGAGGATATATAAGCTGAATGGAGAGGTTCTTACTTTTTTATTTTTGATTCAACTCATAATATTTGTGACAAATGTCACAGTCATCTTACTTTTTGGACTGAGCTAGTGAAAAGAAGCTTTTTTAAAAATATTAAGAAACACAAACTAGGACTGGGCAATATGGCCTCTTTGTTACGGACTGGATGGGGTGGAGTCACGTCTCTGATGTAGGACAGCGTCTTAAAGGGACATGAGACCATAGCCTACCTACAGACATCCAAAACCAACTTTTATTTATTTATTCTTTTGACACTTAATAAATTGACATGGGCAAAACAACGTTGGTTATTGTTTTAAATTTTGGTTTATCGCCCAGCCCTAATCTATACAACAGAATGTCTGTTTGGTGTATGATTTTTTTTTGTCCCCAGAGACTTGCCGTAGGCCGCTCTAAAGCAGTTGTTGCTGCTGTTATCCAGTTGATGTGCACATTAGGTTGCACTATTACATGTTCACACGCTAAATAGGCTGTTACCTGAGAACACAATAAACAGCAGATCTATCATATTTAATTGGTCTAACCTGCAGGTCAAGGAGTCTTATCGATCTGGGTGTTGACCAGAGCTTTGAACAGCTCCGTTAGGGAAACTAGATTTATGCTGAACTGTCATGAATCGGACCTCCAGTCATTTTTATGTCAATCAATTATGCAGTGAAAGGAAGAGGAGCACGGCTGTAAATCAGAAAGACAGAAGTTACAGATTTATGGGACATTTAAAAGTAGATTACAGCTGCATGATTTACTCCATTTCCTCTTTTTTTTGCCGCTCCACTTCTGCTTCTGTCTCCACTGATGATCTTTCACCCTTCTTTCCTTCCCTCCTCACCTCCTCCTCCTCCTCCTTTCATTTCCATTTTTATTGCCTCCTCATCTCTTCATCCCTCTTCTTTCATCATTACGGCTCCACGTCTCCCTCTTTCCTCCCGCTTTACTTCGGATAGTAAAAAGGTAAAAGTGTACTTTGGGAGGAAGGCCATGTGGAACACTAAATCACATGCAGGTGTCTTTAAATGGCGGAGAGAGTGTTAGACGGAGGCACGCACACACACACAAACATGTGTATTTGCACACACTCGTACCACCGGCCCCTCATTTAGGTAGCGGTAATTCGCCGCAGCGAGTGACAGGGTTATTGTAAGACGCTCATTAAGAAAGGGAAGCAGCGAATAAACGTCTGACTGAAGGGAATAAATTCAAACCACGGCTTCCACTTTTACTGCGCGGCGAGGAGACGCTTTGATGTGGTTTGTGACGGCAGAGCGAGGGCAGACTCGGGGCGTGTGAGTGAGTGTGTCAGAGCCCGACCATTTCCCTCTGACACTGATCTGACATATTATTTATAATGTGCTCCCTGAACTGTTTACAGCATGTCTATATACGCCGTGTTTGTATGTACTGTACTCTGTGTTGATTCTGTCTGGAGAGTTTCGAGGGTCAGAGGTCAGATCAGTTACCAAAAGGCAGACTGTTACCACGATAACACGGTGCAAGGTCACTTCCTCTGGCAAACTTTCATCTCAGCAGGGAAGGGGGAGGAAAAAAGAGGGATGAAAGGACCAAGGCGAAGACATGAGGACTGACAGAAAGAGTGAAAGAAGTAAAGAAACTGGTTTGAGGAGACTTCAAGTTGAAGCAAAACGAAAAGGAAGACGGATAGACGGAGAAAATAAGGATAAAAGTAAAGAAAGCATGAAGGTGTGGTGAGGCTGTATGAGTCAGTGTAATTATAAATATATAGATATACTCTGTAGGATTTTGACTGACATTAAACATGGAAAACCTCCAGGATGATGTAACAGGATCTTTGTGTTGTTTGATCGTTCTTCTTTGTAAGAGATGCAGCAGATGGAGAGCAGAACTTCACTGTTTTCCACACTCATCAGCTTCCCAACAAGAAAGACTGTTTCTAAACTCATACGACTGAACTAACCAGTAAAAACTGAGGGTGTTTAAAGGACACCTACGATACTCATTTTCATCTTTCGTCTATGAAGCAGCTTTGCGTGAAAAACTCCTTTGTTATTTTTATACCGGCATCCATGAAAACCCTCATTTCAGCAGGATTCAGCACCTGCCTGAAACAGTTAATTTCTGCTGCTTTTCCACTGAAATAAAGTTAACTACGGAGGCCAGGTGGTGACATGGTGACATGAATTTTTTTTAATTCGCACGTGTGATTTAAAATCTCTCATGTGCGCTTTATACATATCTTGTATGTGCGTTTTATTTGTATCTTGTGAATGTGTTTTTCTAAATAATCCTCCGCTCACCTCATTTGTGAGAGAAGAAGGACAGTGTCATGGACAGAGAGCATATTATCAACATTTTCTTTCATTTAGGTATGACTCACAAAGACGTACTTTATAGCTGAGCCATATTTGGTCGTGTTTTAAGTAGAAGACACCTCAGCAGGATCCTTTTTGATTTCTTCCTTGAATGTTGTGAACTCTGCTTTCAGTTCAGCTTTAAAATCTTTTATTTCTTCAGCAATATCTTTCAGTCTCGTACGTATTAGCATAGCTGCTTCGGTCTCCATTTGTTCTCCCTCATGGTCTGAGTCTGTGCCTGTCATGTTGTCTCTGTCTTCGGTCATTTCTGGTTGTTAGCTTTGTTTTTTTTTTTGTCAGGTTATCTATTTCTTTCAGAGTTGTTGGGTTGAGTTGAGTACTGATCAGGAGCTATTTCTCTATGCTGCCATTTGGGGCTGGAGCTAACCCGAAGCGTCATCACCTCATCAGGATCCTTAAAGCACAGTGACTTTGCCATCGGCGATATTTGGACTTGCAGGAAATGATTTTGTTTATTAACACATTAATAAACAAAATCATCAATTCACAACACATTCAAAATGGTTAACTTCAACTTTAATTCCACGTCTGACAAAGAAAATGACCCTTAATACTTCAGGATTTTTTGGCAGCACCAGGGGTGGCCAAAAGAGGGTCCATGTCAGCCCTGGCCCCCTCTTTAGACACGCCCCTGAGTATTATTCGAACATCTGCATGGGTAATCCTGGATTCAGCAAAAATCGGAACATCTATCTGATGGATGAGGATGACATTTGGTTCCGCTAGTCATGATCCCCAGTGGACGGATCTGACCAATTACTGAGAATTAGACTGATAGAAATGCAGATAGATCACCAAATCCCCCTTTAAGTGAATTTTAATAACCTGATTGTAAAAAAAAATCACTGTTCAGCAAGTATTTAGAGTCTCAACACCTGTGATGATGTTTGTACCTGATAGATTGGCCGATCATTTTTCCGATCACAGATTCCTCTGCAGTCTCGCCTCATGTTTCGCCAAGTTTCTAAATGATTAAAAGAGTTTCTGTGGTGAATAATTGCCAAAACTATACAAGTATGACAGATGTTGTTGTAATCACCAATTAAAATGCTCTTTTCAGGTGTTTTATCAACTATAAATAAGAGTCTAATTTCAAAGCAAGCAGCTCGTCAGCGATCCTCCTCTCTGCAGAGGAGCTGTTTGTCAAACTCCAATTTTGCTCCTTTGTCAGCAGGCTGAGCAACGGTCTAACATCTGGAAACTAGTCATCTGAGAGGCTTCAGTTATTCTTTACAGCGTGCTGATTCAGCTGCGGCGCACACTGCCCGACCTCGCTCTGAGATTAGAGCTGGCTGTGCTGCTGCAGGTTAGATGCGTGATGGAGCACTTCGACTGTAGCTGAGATGGTAATTGGATTTCCACGTCTCATTTAACCAGCTGGATGCCTCGACAATCCCAGATATTGGAGGCATCAGTAGAGTTTTTCAAGTAAAACAGAATTGATCATGTTTTGCTGGGTGCAGAAATTGTTTTTAATTATTTACAATTAAAGGAAGTTCAACCAGAACGTTTTTTATCCAGCTCAGCTAAAGTCAGCCGGGTAGATACTCAATTATGATTACAGTTATAATCATGGTCTGGCGATTTTGTTTTACTTGTTGTTTAGAAAGACTGAGAAAAGTTCAAGAGTTTTAGTTTGTACAGATTATTTCAGTTTATCTGTTAGACCAGGAACTGAGCAGCTACTGCTGGTTAATAACTTTACAGCAGAGGATGTGGGTTTGTCCTCTGATATGTAGTCTGATAACACACGTGTGTATGTGTGCAGTAGAGATTATCTTTTGTGTGCATTTCATTCAACATAACCTAAAGCCTCAGGGTATTACATCTCTGCTATTGTGTGAGTGTGTGTGTGTAAATGGATAAAAGCTTATAATATTAATAACTGCTGAGTGTTTGTGTGTGTGTTTATGAAACACGGTGACCTGATCTACTTAATTGTTTGTCTGCTGACCTTGATCCACCCACTCAAGGCCACAAGCCGAGGTTTGTGGTCGTGTTCGTGTGCGCATGTCGGGGGTTTGGCTTCCGCTGTCTTTCTCTAAAACTGTGAAATAACCTTTAAATTCATGTTCAACCAACAGAACAAAGGTTTGATTGTTGGTTGTAGATAAAGACCTGGTTTCGACAGAAGTTTCATATCTGAGGCACACTTAAACGTGGTCCAATCAGAGTTTGAGCTCTATGTTTTGGTTTTTGTCTCAGAGGAAGTGGACCTTCTATCTAAAGCTGCACTGAAACCCCAAAAACTCAGAGATACAGTTGAGCAATATCTAATATTCAGAGATGGGGCTGCCTGATAGTGGATGTTTAATGTTTTCTTTGCATTTGATTAAATACCAAAGTTTTATTCTAACAAGTAAAAAAGGGGCCTGTCATGATTTTTAAAAAACCATTAACTCAAGATTTGGGTAAAATGAAGAAGTTTTTTGAGCTTCATAATGGTCAGATAAACATGGTTATCTGAGTCAGTAACCTGCTCCAGATCAATTCTTAATTTGTGAAATATATAACTATGTATCTCAAAACATGACTATTATTTTTGTCATGATCAGGGCTGTTATGAGACCAGATTTCACCTTATGACTATCACGGCTGTAAAATATCACAATGCCATAGCAGTTATAATGTTCATGGACATATTGAAAGTGAATCAACACAATCAGTCGATCAGAGGAAAGGCGACATAAGGGTGGAGAAACACACACAAAACTTACAAAACTAAACCTATTTATGTCACTATCTTAAATGTTATCATTCATTTATAATTATATCCAGATTTATGATTTATCACCAGCGCAGTGACAGAAACGAGTGTTTGACATGCTTTTATTTTGATAGCTTTTCGGTGGCTTTTTATCCCGCATAGTAAAACCATGCTTTTATTTTGAAATTTGCCTGTTCTGGTTAATTGTAAGTTATTGAAATGAATGAAACAAGCCAAAAGAACAGGTACAAAACATGACCATTTATTAAATGCCATTGCACCAACCTACAAGGTTAGCGTACACATGCAGTATTTTTGGCCCCTGCCCCTCTTATATAGTCACATCAACATTTTCCTCGGCTGTGACACTCTGAGGCCTTTGCTCTGTTTTTATTGATTCAATCTTGTGTATCTAATGTTTTATGAGCTAAATTAAGATTATACTGTCTACACAGCTCCTAATTCTAACAAGAAAAAGCAACACGGTGTCCTTATATCAAAAGGAAACACAACAAAGCAGCTCGTAGTAAAAATATGTTTGGTTACCTGAACCACAAACAACTGTGCTTGATTCACAAGAGCGAGAAAGAGGAAAAAAGGGAAGCTCATCAATCAATTTGAATTATCTTATGTGTTAAATCTGCTCATAAACCTTGTTGTAAAAGTGACTATTTGTGGTTGAAGATGGAGCCAAGCTTGCTGTTTTATCACTGCCGAACAAGCGAATCCCCTCCTGGCTCTGACTTTATACTAACCCTAAAAACTTTTGAGTGGTTCTTGTCTCATTATCGAACTTTGGCAAAGAAAACAAAAATATTTTCCCAAAGTCACAAACCACCTTCAGAAGAAGACAGCAGGATAAACAGTTGCAGTTATCTTGGGGAAAGAACCTCTTTGATGAAGACGGGGATATCAGGGATCTTCATCAACGTTAATCCTAGATCAGCGCTCAGGTCAGTTTATGGCTTAAATGAACCAAATTAAAGGGGATTAAATGTGCAGTTTTTTAATCACGATATCCCGTCAGGAGAACTTTTATATGTCTGCAAACTAATCCCACTCAGTGATCAATGCAATACCAAACTCAGCATAATCAGACAGCAATGATGTGGGGTAAAGATAAATAACTTGTATAGAAAACAACTTCCCATGAACATGAAAAATGAATTTTACCAGAGGGGAAATACCAGTTATGTGTCTGTAGCCAGAAGCCAAACCAATAACTAATCCTGGGTCTGACATAGAAGACAGCAGCTTGGCACTGTAACACACAACACATAACAAAAAAAAAAAATTTCAGTCAGGGAGAAATTAATCAATTCAAGTGTCAGAGCGAGCGGCAGAGAGGAACAGACAGCTCCTTAACTCTTCAAATAAATTTCAGTCTTAGCAGCGTCTGATTAAATCAGGGTGTTGTCAAGGCCGGAGTTTTTGGCTTGAATAATGGAAGTTTAGCTTGATGAGAGTTTGATTTAAGTTTGTGTGAAGTTTCGCTCGGTTAATTTGGTTTAATGAAGGTCTCTGCAAATCTTAAGTTAGTGATGGAGGCTGCTCTGAATGTCTCTGGCTGCTGTAATGACTGTCAGGGATTTTAATAAATTAAACAGCAGTAGGACACGATGATGGGGATAAACTTTGACTTCAAAATAAACAGCCTGCTGTTTTGCAGAAACAGCAATAACTGGCAGTTTGATTGAATTCTTGTTGCTCGTATATATTGGAGATTAAATCATAAGAAATAACATTTTATCATATCATATTAGACCCTGTCATTTCTTATCCTATCATATCATCTCATATCACACTGTATCAAACTATATTATTGTGTGTCTTACTGTGTCATATCACTTGGTATTGCATCATATTGTTTTGCCATACTGTGTCATGGCATGTGAAGCTGTATTTTAATAATTCACATTGTTTTGTGTAGTTTTGTGTCGTATTTCATTGTGTCTCTTCAAAGTATATAGTATCGTGTTTTGCAGTATTGTGTCATCTGATTGTATCTTATCGTATCTTAGTGAATTGTTTTGTATTGCATCGTTTCAAAGCGACTCATATCGTTCCATATAGTATTGTGTCCTATTGTATGGCTGTATCATATCATACAATACATTATGATATCATGTCTTATCATATGGTATGGTATGGTATCATACATCATATCATATAATATCATATCATATCATGTTGTATGGTATTGTATCATACTTGGAATATTCCGTATCACACCGTAACGTATCATAGTTGGAATATTTCGTATCATATCAGACCGTATCACATGATATTATATCTTGTATCCTAGCATGTGATTTTTCTATAGTATTTCATCCTTTTCTCTTATATTATTCTGTTAAAATCATTTTGAATCATATCATATCTCATCTCATTACATTATATCATTTTTTACATTTTTTCATGTCATTTTGTCTGTGGTACTTTATAACATTATACCATATTGTACTGTATCATCAAAGTCAAAGTGTCATTATCAGCCATATCAAATCATACTGTATCATAATTATCATAATAATTGCTTTTATGTTTTTGTATTATGTTGTACTTTAGCGTACCAAATACTACTGCAAAGAATTGTTCATACAGAAGGTCTCAAAAGTGAACCTCAGTTATCCTCCAAAGACAGAGAAACTGCTCAGGCAGTTCACCAATCATCCTGTGTCTGTTTAAGAGCTTCGCAGAGACACTGATTTTATCTCAAAACTGCTTAATTTAATCTCCATGCTATCATTAAGTTGATGCTTTGTTTTTGTAAGAGGAGTAGACCCCTACAGAGAGTTTGGTTCTGGTGCATATTGAAGGAATTCAGATATCCTGTATCTTGTGAGAAGAGGCGAAGTCAAACCGATTTTACATCTGAAACTCTTTATTATGTGCTTTTACTGTAAAACACTATTTTACTGACAGCGTGTAAATCTGATGACAGATGTGGGGCTGATTTGGTGTCGAGGGCCCCTTGCATAAAGACTACAGTTCTAACTGGAGCAAGAAAAACATCTGAAGAGAAGAAATTTCAATATACAGCTAACATAATTACAAGTGGCAAATTCCTGGTTGGGTGTTCCCATTTTTTATAGTCAGCTCTTTGCATCCTGGCTCGATGCATCTTGACAGCCTGCAGTGCGATGCAGGATACCTGTCCACCACCTGCTTGGCACACGCGCTGTTGTTGGCCCGCTTGTTGAGACGGGCTCAGGTATGCCGGGGCTGCCACAAGGAATGCAGGGAAAAATTTGTGAGACGGAGCAACAGAGGGTGTGACGGGGAGGGAGAAGAAAGTGTGCACCAGATGTGTTTGATGGGAAAAGGAAATTAATGGCTGTCTTGATGTGGTCTCCATGACGACGAGTATAAGCTCTCACATGTCTGTAGGCAAAACCCAAAACAAGTTTTGAATTAAATGGATTCACTAATGATTAAGTGCAAATTGCCCCGCGGCAGAACAGGGCTCTGCAGATTTTCTAATGCAGCATTTAGCAGCAGGAGGGCTGTGGGAAACCGGGCCCTCCACTTGGCACAATATGCGCCATTAAATGAATTTACAGTCATAAATATTACATCAAACGTCTCCACACAATCAATACTAAAGAATTTACCTCATCAGGATTCATGCCAGTCCAATGAGGTGAATAAACTATTCATATAATAAGCAGGGTAAGCTGAGTAGACATTGATTTTGCCTGGAGGACGCACCCCATCTCAAAATCTACAGAAAGCAAACGGAGGCCGCAAGGTTGAAGGTTTGAGCCTTTGAGCCGCTGATGAAATGTTGAAAGACAAAGAGGCCGAGCAGCAGCGGCTGAAAATAGAAGGCGGTGATTGAACTGAGGAGCACTCAGGCTGGATTTTACAGATGATTATGAAGGACAGAAATTCAGAGGAAAGCATGCCCAGGTGACCTTTATTAGAAACCCACTGTCTGTAAATGTTCAAAATCTGAGTGAGTAGAGATTTTAAGAGACAGATTATCCGTTTATGTATCTTTATGCTGCAAGGAGCATCGCTTTGTGTCTCCAGTTGCATCATAATTTACTGAAATTCTGCAAAAGTGTTGCAGAAATGTTTGCAACTGTACAACTAAAATACATCTGCAAAAGTTCAATCGATCTGCTTTTTGTCATTTTGTTTAAAATTTATACAACAAAGTGGGCGGATGTGATCTTTTAATCACCGTGAGCAGTTAAATCATGTGAACCAGGGTTGAAAAAACCTCCAGGTTGCCTGCAGGGCTCAAATTTGTTCTGAATTCAGCCTCCAGTGTGCCTGTTTTCTTCTCCGTCCTTCATTTCTTTTCATCATGTAAAATTATGTTGAGCAGCAGAAATATAAATAAATCAAACCCACACTTTAACACTTTTCATTGAAAGCTCAGAGGGAGTTATCTCATCCCAGCTGAACAGAAAGCTCTGCGGTAGTTATTTATAAAAGTTGGTTTCTGTGTCCCCTGCACGGTTTTGCTCAATCTTTCTGATTAAGAATCGCCACTTTTCTCAAAGTTTCTTCACGTTAGAATCCTCTCCGTTTGTTGTACCTTGGCGTACTTTGTTTATTTTACCTCAGAGTTGGTTTAGTGTAGGGTTAAGTACAGATTTCGTACTTCTTGTCACGTAACCCAACAGAACAAAATGGGATTAGATTTACAGGATAAGATGAGTCGAAGACAATGACTTAATCCGTGGGGTAGGATCCAAGGATGATCAGAGGAGATAGCTGGGATTAGAAGTCCAAGTAATAGTGATTTAGGTTAGAGAGAACCTTCAGAGGCTCAGGTTTTAGTGTTGGCCGAGCTGGTAACTTTGTCTGCTAATAATGACGCGTACAAGGGAACATAATAGCAATAAACACACAAAAAATGAAACTTATTTACGCATCAGTTACACAATATCCAATATCCAAACACATCCATCTCTATAATTACATTTTTACCAAATTACCAAGAACTTAAAGCACTGTCGCTTTAAGGACATTTGAACTTTAATGGACTAATTTAATTTAAAAGTTTGCGAAGATATCAGGCTGTCTCACGTAGCTTGCAGTTGGGTCCAGAAGAAGGTGCTGTTGTCATCGTCACCTGACCATTGAATGTCACTCTTGACATCGGTCAAATAATACAGTGATGATTTTCTGCAAAAATGGAGGATGAGTTCTGTGGTCCAAAAAAATCCAAACAAACTAATAAGCAACTTGTAAAGGTAGTTTCAGATCGCTAACGGTAGGGTGACCATATTCTGAATCCCCAAAAAGAGGACATGACTACGCTGGGGCGGAGTCACAGAGTCGCCCATAGTTATTTAAGAGTTTTTCGGGTGGGATTGAGTGTCTTTTACACGTTTCTACCTCAGTAAGTCCACGCAACACAAACTTGAAACTTCCATACGAATCCCCGGACATTTGAAGGATTTTATAAACTTCCCCAGACAAAGACGGACAGCCCCCCAAAAAGAAGACATGTCCGGGTAAAAGAGGACGCATGGTCACCATTGCTAACAGGCAGTTATTGTTAGAGTTCAAGTCATTTAAGTCCTCTTATGTTGTCTCAGTATATGTTTTGTAAACAATAAGGGATTTTTATTCAAACTTATGGGCTAGTGTCAATAAAATAACAACATGAAGTTGCATCTGTCGGTCATGAGAACTTGATTTGTGTGAAAGGTGGTTAGTATGTCCCACCTCAGTGTCCCTATAATCCTGGAAGCCACCAGAACAGTGATTTGTAGAGTCTGTCAGAACGTAAGTCCAGGTATTATGGTCTGAGTACAAATCCACAGACTTTATTTGACTTAAGCTCCAATACGACAAGTTCTTCTAAGAGTCCCCAAGTGTTTTTCAGTGAAAATGCCCCAGTGATGAAGTTTCTAAACTAGCTTGAGCTAAAAATTCAAATAGCTGTAGACTTGATTGGTGTTTGTAAGGGTTGGAGAGATGCTTGTTTTTGCTGTTAGGCAAATAAAACAGTTTAAGAAAAAGAGTCTACAAGTCAAACTAAACTATTAAGTGACATCAAACCTTTGAATAACGTTTTATTTTCCAGCCAACTTTTCGTAATTGTTATATCTCTCCAGGCTCTGTCCCTCTCTCCATGTCATGCAGTGCTCTGAGTGTTTCACTTTTTCATATAAACAAGGCCTCCAGGGCCAGGGAATGTGCTATGTCAATGAGGGTCCCCACAAATGTAGTTTGAAGCCATTGTGCGAGTGCCCCTCAGGGTATAAACTAAACTAAATATATTCTGGAGCTTAAGGGTAAAAACAGCCGAACCACTTCCTCTTATCTCCTCTCTTTTCCTCTCCTCCCTCACTTTTTTCACTTCTTTCCCAAGCAGCCCCTTAAAAGCTCTGTTTTGCTCCAAGGCTCTGCTAAAAATGAGTTTCCACCATGCTGACAATCTCACTCTCTCTCTATGTGCGGATGATTGCACAGTCGCTTTCCATTTCCCATCACTAAGCCCCTGAGCAAGGCACTTATTCACAGATGTGGTGTGATAACCTGCACTTTGTGGAACCTTCAGGTCTGTCTGCTTGTGTTAGCGTGTTAGCATGTTTGCAAGCTTGCGTTTTGTACATGTGTTGGTGTGTCACCGCTGTGTTCGGCCGCGTCTTCCCGAGCGCATTAAGTTTTTATAGCAGGATGCCAGCTGCTTCCATTACCAAGCAACCCAGGAATGCAGTAAAGCATATGTGTCTGTGGTAAACGCCCTGCGATGTCTAGGTTGGTACGCAAACCAACAACTAAGCGCTAACATTAGCAGCACGAAGATGGTGTCTGTGAACCACATATGCGACACTGATGGTTTGGTTTTCAACTCCAGCAGGGGAGGAATCTGTGAACTGAATGACTTTGTCTTCACAGCACAGCCTAGCTTGACGACATATCACAGCTTTGAATTGTTTGAACAAAGTGTTAGTTCAGACAGGCTACAAAAGCTCAGCCCACAGTCTGCTCTGTAAACAAAGGTCTTTGCTGCTGCTCTCCCCGCCTCAGGCCTTGCTCTGATACATGTACAGGTAGAGGCAGGGGGCTCTCATGCTGCATTCCTGCGTACATCAGAAGTGGGGTGTCAGAGCTAGGAATGATGCTATAACACTTAAGTCGACGGCGTTCCAGTAAACAAGTCGGAAAACCAAGATGGACGCCTACTGTTAGCCGTAGTTAGCTGTTGTTAACAATTGTCAGTTGTAGTTAGCCGTTGTCATTTGTTAGTGGTTGTCAGCTGTTGTTAGTTGTTGCTAGCTCTTAGGGGCGGGAGAGAAAATTGATTCACATAAGAATCTTGATTTTTGTTATACAATGTTTAAATCGATTTTTATGTTCAAAAATTGATTTTTTTTTAAATTTCAGAATAAATCTTAAAAACTGACTTACATGTGATGTGTATTTTTGGGGGAAGTAATCATAATCATTCAACTGTTGCATTGGTATCAAAAATGCAGACTAAAAATCGAGAAAATCGACAATATCATAGAATCCCAATTTAAGTCAAACCGACATCCAAAAAATCGTAGAAGAATCAAATCGGGAGAAAAACATATCGTCCCAGCCCATTTGCTGTACCACTTGTAAACAACGCATAACAAAGTTTTTTACTTTCACTTATTTAATTTCACTAAAACAAAACAGAAGTGCTAATAAATAATACATTACGAGAGCTTTCACTGTAACCAACCCTTTACTGTTGATGCACTGCGCTGCCATCTTGAATTATGACGTTGCCGTCAAGTCCGGGTTGGTGAGGATCGTCCGACTCTGAGCTCGGAAATTCCAACTTTTGAGTACAACAAACCATCAAATACAGTTGATCGCAGCAAAGTCATTAGTTTCTTTGACAAAAGTGGTCCTGACTGGAGTTTCAGAAAGTACCTGTTATTCTTTACTCTGGTCATGGTCTTGTGGCTTCACAGCGTTCGCATTTTGACATGAAACGAAACAGAAATAGCTTAAGTCCACTGATTTCATTACATAACATGACGTCCCTGCTTGTGTTTCTGTCTTTGCAAACCAGGAACTGCAGGAAACACTTTCGCAGGTGCTGCAGTGCTCCTCTGAGGACCTCGCCTCCGGTGAAAAGGTGGCATCTGAAATGAAAAATATAGTGCAAAAAGAGAGCACTGTGTGGAGTACGGCTTATATCCTGCTGTGTGGAAAATGAAATGACGCCTGTGAGCTAGTTCAGGCAGGCAATTTGAGCTTTACTGATTTCACACTTATCACATGGCAAACATACCCTCCAAATTTGGGTGGGTGGCGGGGTCAATCTAAGCTCCAGGTTTCAGTCTCTGCCTCTGCTGCACCACCACCTTGTGAAAGTGCTGTGATCACGCTGTAATCCCCACCACCTCCCAGCATTAACCTGCAGGCTCCAGCTGGGGTGTTAAAGTCGTCTCATCACTCTTTGCTCTGCATGTAAAATAATAAGGGTAGAGCCTAGACGCCAAACACAGACATTGTTTGCTGCTACTGTAAACATTTCCAAGCATCGGAGCAGGAGTTGTTTGACTGAGATGTTGTAACTGATGTTGACTCATACCTGAGATCTCAGCGGCGTCGCACCTTTCCTCGGTAATAGCAGCCATTTTTGATGAATTTGTGGAAACGGCGTCTGAGCTCCCTGCCTCTGCATTAAGCAGACGGAGGAACATTTTCAGTCTGGTGTGGCAGAGTTAAGAAGCTCTTAAGGAGACGTCTTTGTCATTTAAACTTTGGTTATTTATGAAGATTGACTGGCCTTGTGAGTGATTTTGCAGATGTTAAGTTTGACTTCAGAATTACTCTGAGGCGTATTTGTGTTTTATGTTTTCACAGCAGCTCTTTGCCTGGACAGTTAAGAAGAAAATAAGTCCAGCTTTTGATCCTGAAACATAGAGGGAGACTTTGTGGTTCTTGTGCGAATCAATATTTCCCAACACTCCTTGAAACCATAACAGCGCTCACTTTGATCATTTGGTTCCCCTTTGAAAACACACAAACACCAAGGTGACACGTGAGCTTTTTATGACTCTTTCTGTCATATAATGAAATAAGGATGGGTAGAAGTTGTCAGCCTTGTCATTAATGAATCGTAGGTGAAATTGTAGGCGAAACAAATAATGTTAGCCATACACTTCATTAACCTGCAGACTCTATGGTCCATGTTTAACCATCATGAATAAATTTTTCTCAATTTTGCCTTTTTTAAAAAAAATTTTTTCATACCTTCAAACAGGTTGGTTGGTCAACTGTTATTGACAGTAACCTTTCTTTTTAAAGCAATCAAATATTAATATTGTGCTACAATACACTTACAGTAATTGTGTGAGTTCATAGCAGCAGAATGAGAGTAAACTGCAGCTGCATGTGAGCGAGCTTTAGCATCCCTTTGGGAGATGGTGAGACGCATTTAAAGTAACGTTCAAAGATGTAATGTGAGTCTTGAGCAACCGAGTTACGAATCAGTTCATCATTTATACTCTTAAACTGGCAACCCAAACATGAGGCAGTAAAAACATATTTTAAGAAGTATGACTATTTATTTTTTAATTTTTCATCAATAGTACATAATGATAATGGTTAGGTGACATCCTGATACCATTACAACATTACAACTCTACTTCCCATTTGATGGTCAGGACTTTTACATACAAGAAGAAGAAATTTTAATATAATGACTAGAAGTGAAACTAGAATATGCTGTGCTGCCTGTGCATTTATTTCATTTCTAAACTACGGTGAAAGATTAAACAGAGAACAAAGAAAACAAGTGATTTTTCTATGACGCTGCAGACGAGTTTGATCTCACCTGACACTTTAGGCCTACTGAAGACACGAGAGCGTCACATCAGTAGTGTGTGTGTGTGTGTGCAGTGCATGAGGGTTCAACTTCATGTAACTTATTTACCCTTGAAAGAGCAAAAATAACCCTTACAGTATCCCAGAAACGAATGTGGGTAATGGAGTTGCTATGAGGTTCTATTTCCTGTGTTCACTCAGACACACAAACACACACACACACCAACCAAAATACACATACACACACACCAGCCAATACCGATGAAAGATTCATGCTGAAACGATGATGAAGGCCTCTCCTCTTCTGCTCCACTTATCCTGTGGACAAATTCTGCCCCTCAAGCCACACACACACACGCACGCACGCACATACTGTACACACACACACACAACCCGCAGACCTGGGAGGAAGAATGTGAGCCCCTGATGCACACAGCTGTGGGGTACTTACTCACCCCTAACCTTCTGAGACGCACACACACACACACACACACACACTCATACACACACACACACACACACACACACACACACACAAACACACACACACACTCATACACACAGACATCTTTGCTGTCAGGAGACTGATGTTGCAGACTGCTTTCCAGGCTGTCTGCAGACTCGATGAAAGTGTGTGTGTGTGATAGGATGTCTTTATTTGTGGGTGCGTGTAGAGATCTTTATTTTTACCCTCCCCTGTAGCAGAATCCTCGTCAGAATAGAAAACAAGTTAAAGCTGGGCGTGTCGGGATCAGAGTTGAGTTTTTAGCTAAAGGGCTAAAGAGTCGGGATAAAGGATCTTATATCTGCTCTGTTATTATGATGAGCGGTTATCAGTTCTGCAGGAGAAGTTTCCCTGTATTTTCTATTTCACTCATTTTTTTGAGCCACATTAAAGGGAAGTATGTTTATTTTACACCCATAGTTAGGAGTCGAACTTTATAAATCCTGGTCCAAGTAGCTCCACATTGATGATATAGCTTTGAAATGTGCCATCCTGAAGAGCACTTTCTCACGAATATTTTCATAGTTTTGTTTAAACAACTATTCAAATGTGAGGATTTGACTCTTAGCTGCTTCCTCTTACAGTTTGGTATGACAGATTTAATTTCAACCAATAAAAATGGGTCAGTTATTGAGGAATTCATTTCAGAGTCCGAAATAAGTTCATTAATGCATGTAAATTTGAGTCCAGGTCTCAGTGACTTTTATAAAACAAATAAGTAAGTATTCAAACATATATAGCAATAAAGCATGCAGAGTAAATGTTGAAAAAGAGTCCATGTTCTTCTCATAAATGAATTAAATATGCTGTTTGTGCTGCACTTGTGCTTTTCAGGTTGTAAGCTGTTCATAATATTTTCACAAGAATCCATAAATGAATAAAGCAGAGGTGTGAAAGACACTCTGATCCTTTACTTGTGTAACAACACAACAACTCTCAAGACCGTGCCAATAATGATGGTAAAAGTCTATGCACCGTTTACAGGAAACACAAATGATTGAAAATAGACTGATCTTTATATCCACAGCAGGAAAGTCAACAGGTTTGATATTCACATTTGTAATAAAGAAGTTTAAAATCAGGGAGGATGTGTGCACCTAGACTAAGTAACATCCAAATAACTAATTAGTTTGCCAATTTATGACAATAATTGCACTGGCTACTGCCGTTATATTGCAATGCTGTTCTACCAGGATGTAAACAAGCAAAGATGACAGATAGCATCTCGTCCTGCAGCACACTTAAGCTATATTTTGATAAAGAAAATGGATGTGCGGTTGTATGACAGCTGTAAACCAGCACATTTACATGACTGCAGCTATGTTTGACTTGCATATGCATGTTGTTAATCTGCAAGGAGGACCAAAGGCTGCTGGTTTTATCTCTGTTAACTCAAGCCTCAGTCTACAATCAATTCAGACACTGTGATCCAGTGTTTAACTGTGTTTCACTAATTTTACTGTATTCTGTATGTTTTCTTGCCTTTCTGTTAATGAGCTGCTTCAGGACATCCTGGTGTTTGTCTGGGTTCTTGTTGAACTTTGGTAACATGCCATATTGAGTTTATCATTATTTTAAGCATGAAACCAAAATTTTTGGTTGTTTTTATTTTCTGCAAGTTCATAGAAATCCCCAGAGCTGCAGTGTCATAAATCTGATTGAATCTGTGAAAAGCTGCTGTGAGGAAATTTTGGTTTGTGTCAATGTTGGTGCACGCTGTGGACGAAGGATAAAGAAAAACCTTATCCTGTCGTCCTGAAATAGTGAAATGTCTCCCTGTGTGTGAGTATATACTGTTGAAAATAGCAAAAAGGGACTGTTTCTTATGGTCTTTTTTCTTTTGAAGGTCATAGAGAGGCATCAGACTCTTTCTCAACCAGTGAAAAACTCCTTAAGTCACTTTTTTAAAGGTTCAGGTGAAACAAAAGTGAGCACTCACATCCAGACGGTGTTTGATTCAGACCTTCAGTATCGGCTGGCTGTTGGTCTTCTCTTTTTGGACTTTGCTTGCTCCTCTGTATCCCTCTCGTCTCTCTCTGGGTTCTCACTCCTCTCCTCCAGGCTACAGACACACTGGTTATTAGTTTAATCTGTGACTCGTAATTGTAGGTGTGAGTTTAAATGAAGCAGAAACGATCTGTCTGGAGTGTACCTGCTCTCACCGTCTTGGTCAAGAGGGTTTGCACGCTAACATTTGCTGAGGCTGTGGACCAATTAGTAAATATCTGATGGTTTGATCTGATGGTCGGAAGCTCTGCAAAGATGCTGTGATTCATTCTGGGAAGGATGAGAATTATTGTGTCTTCACTCTGGTTTGGTTTCCTGGGTGATGTCCAATTTAATCGGCTGATATTTTAAATCATCATGATGATGTTAATTAAGTGAATAAATCAATTAACTCTAATCCGTCTGTGTCCTCCTGCCAGGTGAACATCTGAGGATGTGTCCTCAGGGCCCCACTTGTTGTACCAGCACCATGGAGGAGAACCTGGCGGGTCTGAGCGGCCGAGAGACCGAGGGGCTGATCAGAGAGGCCGGCAGGTCGCTGCAGTCGGTCTTCAACGGTCTCCACAGGAGCTTTGACAGTGAGTTCGGCTTTTGTGTGTGTTCACGTGTGTGTGAGCGAGAGAGAGATGCTCATTACAGGCTGAGTTCAATGCCAAAGCTTCAGCGCTCCAGCCCAGGGGAGACTGACATTTGTAAGTTGTGTTTGTAAATTTGTGTTAGGTACAAGCTCCGGCTGTGCTCTGCGCTCGATCCTGCAACTTCAAAATAATGGTGTGTGTGCGCGTGTGCATGAGGCAGGATGTGTTTGTGTCCTGTGCGTCAAGGGGACCCCTGACTGGGTGTTATAATGAGAGCGGAGTCAGCCAGACACAATGAAACGTGATAAGCCGATCCCCTGATCTCAGAGGGGCACACACACACACACACACGCAGACGCACACACACACAAACAGAGGGGTGTCCCCCGGGGCAGTGGCTGGTTCAGCTAATGAGCAGTTGACCCACTGAGGAGCCGAGCCTGCAGATCAGTGCACATCAGAGAAACAGAGGGATGGAGGGAGGAAGAAATGAAAGAAAATCTAAGAAGTGCCAAAGCCAACGATCGGGGGATGGACGAATGCGGCGAGAGAGAAATGTGTCATTAATTCTGGGCGAAAACAGAAGATCGAAACAAACATGAACTGAAGAAAAAGAGACAGAGAGCAGGAGGCGGACTAGTCAGAAAAAAGAGGAGGAGGAGGAGGAGGAGGAGGAGGGCAGAATTATTAGTCTGAAGGCAGCAGGCCACCTCAGTAGCAGTAATGTGGCCGCCCATCTGGTTGTGGTTACAACAGGCTGGCACTGGTCCACATCCTTTGAAGCACCAGAACAGTGTACTGCAGAGACAGCGAGCTGACTCCCCAATTCTTCCAGTTTGACCTCTCTATTGCACAAAATCCATCTGGCTGCAAAGATAATTCAAAGGAACCTTAAAATATGCAAAATAAATGCAAATTACATGTGCCAATCAGCCGGTATGTGAAGATAGTATATCAGTATATTCAGATTTTCACGTATAAGACAACAAACAAGTGCAGACTGTAGTACTGAGTGTAGTGCACCATCCAAATAGTGGTGAGAATGACATTTTTGGAAGATCACATGAAATTATCAGACAATAAAAAGCCTTTTGATTAAAAAGTCAATCATGTGTAAGTCATGCATAGAACTGATTAATACCAGTGGGACACTTTGACCCAGTTTAAGTGTTATGGTGTTCAGTAGACCCAGTCCCAGATGGTCACTCACCACCCAAAAGAAGAGTATTCTTAAGTATATTTCAAACTATTGTCCATACATGAAGTTTTTATTGATGGGAGAATTAAAGCTCCAGTAAGGGGTTTTAGACTGGTCATGTGATGCATCTTGGTATCCTCTAAAATTGAACTAGTTCATTAGCAAAAAGACCGCTAGTTCTGTATTGTTGTTTTTTTAATGGCTTTTACTGTCAGTTTACAGGGTTATTAAGATTTTCAAATATTTATGACAAGTGGCTGTTAAAAAAGCAAAGGATGTAGACATGTGCAGGACAGAATAAGCAAAGGCATAGAGTTATCACTTTGTCCACAAGGGGGCGCCAAATATCACACAAAACAAAAAATTCCTCACAAGATCTTTAAACATGAAAATGTATTAACAATTACAGCAACAGTAATGTTAAAGGGGGCTTTATTGTTCAGTGATAAACTAAAGGAAAACATTTTTAGTAGGGATGGGCGATATTTATTATGTCGTATTTATCGTGAGATGGAAAATATTTATCATGGAGGATTTTTCTGACGATATATTGTAAATGATTATTTATATCTCATCCCTACTTTTAACTCTTCTGGAAAAAAAAAAATTAATTGCAAATTACTCTATTCTATTTTATAGTATTTCAGTATTTATTGTGTGGGTCACTTTTATCATCAATCCTGCCTTGAATCTGTTAATCACTTTGGTCAAATTAATTTGTTTTAAATGTTCTCTATAAAAAAAAAGTTTGAGCTGATTTGAGTTTCAGAGCCTTTCAGTGTCCTTCAGCTGTTTGTTTTAGTTTTACAACTTTAAGTTTATGCTAAAGCAGCAAGTTTATAGCCACAATAAGCGGCTATCTAATGTAGAAAGGTGTGTTTAACCTTTCCTTGATTCACAAAGTCAAACTAATTGTTCCAATTCGGAGCAAAAATGAAACATTTTGGTGACTTAGATTCTTAAATACATCCCAAAATAAAGACCAGTGTTTATTTCTAATTAGATTTTTGGTTCAGCTTGATTACTGTTTGCTCTCAAGTTGGATGCTACAAGGCTTTGAGTGTGAATTTGTGAAAGCCTGTTGTCAAGTTCTTCCTCAAAGTGGATGAAAATAGATGCGACCACTGCTGTGAGGGTTGGCGATGCTAGTGTCGTCCTCCCTCCCTCCCGCATGGTTTGTTTTTTTCTGCCATGTTTTGTCTAATTGGCATATTTGCTTCATTAAGATTTTAATGAATGATTCTGAAGTGATAAAAGTTACCTGGTAACTCCTGATGAGCACCTGTGGTCAATTAAATGACAACGCCCTCACCTTTACTTGTCAGCAGCAGAATTACGAGGAATTTTGTCGTCTGTGTCCAACCCCCTTCTTCATGAACTCTAACCTTTCTTTTTCTCTCTCTTCTCCTCTCAGCTTATTTCACAGAACTGCACGGTCGTTCTGAGCGCTCCCTCCAGGAGGCGCTGTCTCCCCTCGGCCCTCTGTACTCCCAGAACACCCGTCTCTATGGAGATCTGTTCTCGGACCTAAAACAGTACTACAGAGGCTCTGCTCTAAACCTGGATGAAACCCTGACTGAGTTCTGGTCCCGTCTCTTGGAGCGCAGCTTTAAAGCCTCCACTCCTGCAGATGTGAGTAAAAACCGAAGTTCATTATGAAACTTCAGACACTTTTTGGATGGAAAACCGAAGAACAGAAAGATGTAAAGAAAAGAAAAAACAGAGATGATAGATTTTTCACTTTTTTTATGACACACATCAGAGACAAAAAGGGCAGAAAAACTATCATGTAAGTTTTAAGTAGAGCACAGTGATGCATCTTCTGGTGTCTCTTCCTGGCAGGTCACCCTGTCAGAGGACTACCTTGAGTGTGTCGCTAAGCAACAAGAGACGCTGCGTCCATTCGGAGACGTCCCCCGGGACATGAAGATGAAGGTGATTCGGGCTTTTGTCACAGCCAGGTCGTTTGTCCAGGGGTTGATCATCAGCGGGGAGGTGGTCAGGAAGGTCTCAATGGTGAGTTTGTGTGAGAAAAACTGACAGATCGACTGCGAAGGTTCGTGTCTTAGTGTGAAAAAAATAGTGTTTGTGTGTTAGCGGTGTGTGTGTGTGTATTTGGGCAGAGTCCCAGGAAAACAGATATGATGGATGCCTTGTCGCCACACCCTAACTGTCAGAGAAATGACTCCACCCTTAAAAAATGGAAAACACAACGACCATCAAAAAAACGGAGCGTCTCACTCCGTCATCAGAACAAAGCGCTCATTTGGAGGGCTGACAGAGCTGCCGTCGGTGATGTGTGTGATGATGGTTTTTTCGGTTAGGAGTGCGATTTCTCAGCCTTCTCAGACGTTGTTTGTCTGATGTGACTCTGGATCGGTTGTTGATATTGATTGACTGAGGTTACATGGCTGGAATAAGATTTTTGAAACAAACCAAATCTTTCCATACGGTTGTGTTTCGATCAATCAAACCTGAAACCCATCACTCAGTGACACTTCAAGATCACAACAGAGGTCCGTGCCTTAAGCTGTGATATCAAAAGAACTGCAACATGAACCCACTGTATGTAATAACCCAGACAGTTTGGCAGAAACCGTTAACTCAGCCGCACTCACTGGTTAACAGCCATCTGCCATGAATGGATGGGCCAAGACAGAGAGACTAAGAAGAAGAGAGAGACGAGTAAAGACAAACAAACAGAGCAAAAACAAAAGCTCAAACAGACGAGGCCGATTCTTTAGGGACACACTCAGTGCTTTTACATCAATTTCAAAAAGTTGTTATTGCCTCAGTCTGACTGAAACTTCACTAAATAATCTGAATAACATACCCAGATATTGAGGTTAGGGATGGATTTTCTCTGCCATGCTCAGTCTGACTGAAACTGGCCTAAGCGGTCTGCACATGCTCCAGTGTTTGCACACCAGACAAGATGCATGGATGTGTTGCTAGAGAGTGAACAAAACTTTAACAGACGAAGAAAAGAAAGAGAAAGGACAAAACTTTCCTTTAGTTGTTCAACATTTATCCTGTTAGCCTCTTGCTAAAGCATTTTGTCGACTGTTTTGAACTTGGAGACAATTTGATGGTAATGAGCAAAAAGGGGACGTGTTACCACCTACTGTAACAGAGGCAGACATGCAATGACTAAAGCTCAACTTAACTGTGCATGGAAATGTACTAACTAATACATTTGAGTCTTCAACTGGAGTTGAGACAGCCTGCAGACAGGTGAGGAATAAGTTACAAAAACCACAACTATGGAGCACTGATTTAGTTAGTAGAGCTGGAGTCCTTTAAATGAGTCCTATAAATGAAAGTAATCCATTCAGTTTTAAGTTGTAGCCCCGCCCCCTTTTTGGTGAAAGCGGCCTATCCAAATTTGAACTGCGGTAAACGCAAATTCCAGGGTTTTTGGCAGTACGATAGCTTAGAGAAGAGATGGATATTATTTAAAGCTCCTGTGAGGATTTTTTGGGTGTGTGTGAATTTTGGCGCCCCCTGTGGACAAATCAGTCCTTCCTTATCTTGTACTTGACATGCTTTAGTTCTGTTTCCGAAATAAATATCTCTTCCTGTTGATTTTTGACAGTTCAACGCATCATTTATTGTGAAATCATGTTTCGTTGGGCAGTATGTGATTTTTCTGTCTTGTTTGCTTTTATATACCATAAAAAACCAACAATATGAATTTTCTTTCCATCAAAAATCTTCTCACAGGAGCTTTAAAGCCTACAGAGGACCCAAATCTGATGTCCATTGAGACAAACATATAAATCATGACTTTTATGATTAGTGATTGGCAGCTGATGTTAAAATTGAGGGTTAACATGAGTTTCTTCTTTAAACTCAGGGTGACTTCTTCTTTTAGATGACCATAAAATAAACATAACCTCATTGCGATCAGTACACCCACTAATGGGCTCCAGGACTGGAGATGACAGGACATCGGAGCTCTGAGAAGCAGCTGTGTTATTCATCCAGCTCTATTAGAACTAGCAAAGTTAATATTCATTTTTCAGCAGGCACCTTTGGTGGCTACTCACTTATTTAAAGGAGAGATATGAGATAAGAGCGGGGAATCTCTATGGGTAACCCACGCTGACTTTGTGATGAATCCAGGGCGCTGTGAGCGGTGCTTTAAGCCTTATTCACCTCTACATGGTAGCTCTGTACAGCGCCGGATAATGTTACAAAGAAAATAGATTTAAAAGTGATGACTAGACTCAGGAAAGCCCTTAAACTTTGATTCTTCCAATGTGATGTTGCTGATCGCTCATTGAAATCTGATGATCAGTGTGTTCGCCTCACAGGTTATTGGATTAAGGCTCTCGATTGCCAATAAATCATTCCACTGAATGCCCATCTGTCCCTGGAATTGACACTTTGTGAGCTAGATTGACGTTTGATAAAGTCTTGGTCCTGACAGTTTTATTGTGCATGTCATCTACCCTCTTGCTCTACTTGTTTCTTGTCTTTTTGAGGCTGTCCTATCAAAATAAAGTTTAAAATGTTAGTCTTAAAAACCTCGCCAATATGACACCGCCAGAACCAAACCAATTTCACCACAAAGACTTCAAACTTCTTCAAATAGACAGCGCTTACATTCCCGAGAACACGGACTGTTTGGGTTACAGACGCTGTGATTGGTTGCAGACAAAACCAGACAAAGCATGATTATTTTTAGATCTGGATTGTTTTTTTAAAAAACAGGTATTTTTAGATGAAAGTTGTTTTATTGTCCTTGGTTCTGATTCATCGTGGCATTGAGCCCTGATACCTGAGAGATTTATTAGCCGCCTGATTTATTACCCCTAAATGGATTTGTAGTTTCATCATTGTCATTAGTGCAAATAAACTATAGGACCACTCAACAATGATGTATCACCTTCACATTTTATTGCTGATGTTGGCGATGATTCATCACACGGCTCCTGTAACTTTCAAGAGTCTATAAACTGTTTTTCATTTGTGGAAAATTAATCAGACTATCTTGAACTGTAAAGCCCACAGCTGTGAAAAGTCAGTGTAAGTCAAGAGTGTTTTTAATCAGGTGTCGCTCTGTAACTACCTGCCCTCATTTCTCAGCTGGTTTTCTGTTTCCTTTCATCACTTCTATGCGAGGTGGTGGTAAAATAACTCCACTGTGGAACCGGACACCTTTCAAGACTTGCTTTCATAATCAGAAGCTGACAGTGAAACAGAAACCATGTACTGTATAAAGACAGACAAGAGGGTCATCATCGCTCCCTTGTTCAAGCTGCCTTTCAAAACGTGGCAATACCGCCCCCTACTGTTTACTCTCTTATCGAGCTTTGTTTGCACTCTGCTCTGCATGACTCTCAGTGGGAGAAGAAAATGAGAAAGAGGAAACTACAAATCCAGTCAAACAAACAGGAGCTGGTACAAACACAGCTGCTTTTATAACCACTCTGAAAAGAAGGTTTTTCTTCGCTGAGGTTTTTCTTCTTTTGCTCCAGGTTCCTCTGAGTCCAGAGTGTGTGAAGGCCCTGATGAAGCTGGTTTACTGCCCTCACTGTCGCGGCATGGCCTCCGTCAAACCCTGCTCCGCCTACTGCTCCAACGTCATGAAGGGCTGCCTGGCCAACCAGGCCGACCTGGACCCAGAGTGGCAGAACCTCATCGGTAAGACACCCCACCTCCAAATGAGATGAATTAACAGATAATTAATACCATTCAATCAAGAGCAGGAACAGCTGAATGTCATAAACCCTGTCATGATCACAGTTAATAGCCTCTATCATATTTTTTTATCTGTATAATTTAAATTAGAGAATAAGGAGAAGTTGATGGGATATTTTCTCTCTATCAGCTGCCTCAAAGTCTTTATGACCAGAATCATCTACTGTTGCACTGTAACACTACCAACCTCCAGCCATAATAACATCTTGTTTGAAACTTCTGTGAGATCACTTATTATAGCCAGGCTGAAATCTCAGACTAAGACCGACAACACTAATAGAAGACTAAAACATGGCAAAGCTGACTAAGTCTCAGTATGTTTCTTTTAGTCTTTAAAATCACATTTTAGGTTTTCCCTTCTTGTGCATACTATCGGAACATTATAATTCTCAAGCATTTTATCAGGACTTGATAGTGTCATGGTGTCTTTCTTTAGTTTTTCTGCATTTTATGCTATATTAATTTGCAATGAGATTTATGTTCCTCTTGCACTATTGCCCAAGATTAATTTGCCCTCAGTTACAGCAAATTATATCCCCTCCCATCTCATCTCATCACATCTAATAATATCACATCTCATATCCTTACATCCCATTTAATCCCAGCTATTCAAATCTCACCTCATCCTATCTCATTTCATGGCAACCCATCTATTCCCATTTTATCATGTCTCATCTATTCTTTACTAATCTAATCTGATGTCATTTTATCTCATCTTATATCTTCACATCTCATCTATTCAGACCTCATCAAATCTTATCACATCTCATCTTAAAATCTCAACTCATCTACTCTCATCCAGTCTCATTTATTTTATCATGTCATATCTTCACATATTATATCATTTCATCTAATCTAATCTAATCTAATCTAATCACATTACATCTATTCTTGTCTAATCTCATCTCCACATCTCATCTCGTCCAATCTTTTCTTATCTCATCACATCTTATTCATTTCCCTCCAGTCTCATCTCATTTAATCACATCTCATATCCACATATCTCATCTCATGTATTTGCATCTGGTCCCATTCCGTTTCATCACATCTCATCTAATCTCATCACATGTCGCATCTTTTAATTGCACTTTTGTAAATCAGACTTACATGCAAACCCCTCTTAATACAGCAGAGAGAAATTATATGAAGGATGTTTAAAGAAATTATTTTTCATTTGGTCCTTTTGCCATAACTTTATTAAGATCTCATAAGACTGTAAACCCAGGTATGGGTTTAATAAACTTTTATGTAAGTTTTTGCATATATACCCAGAAACATGTTAAAACCAGATCTAAAAAAATATATAGATTTTTCAAAACATTTCAAACTTAACATAAAAAAAGTTCACAATACTGCCATTTTGCTATAACTCACTTAACTTTAAGACTTCCACAGGTTTTTCAGTTTCACTCATTCATGACCATAAAATCAACAGTATACTTCAGGTTTTGCTCTCCTTAAAAAATCCTCTCCCTCTTTTCTCTTTTCAGACACAATGATCCAGGTGGCCTCCAGTTTCAGCACAGAGCCCAGTCTGGACGTGGTTCTCTCCTCCATCCCCGCTCGGATCTTCGAGGCCGTTCGCTTTCTGCAGGAGAACATGGAGACGATCACAGCCAAAGTAAGACGTCTCACTTCGTCTCATCATCAGTGGCGTTTGCTTGAGCTTGTTTTTGCTGTCTTAAAAACGAGATCCAGAGATGAAGTCATTACTCTGGATGAGCGTTTACCTTGAGGATAAACTGCGTCTGAGCTCAAGAGTATATGGACTCAACTTCTCACCGCTAACTTTTTTTTATATATGGGTGTTGTAGTTTTATGGATGTATCCTTCAAATGAGAACAGGCAGCATTATTGAGCGGCCAGCTTCCAATAATATTTATATTGATCTATATATCAGCGGCACTTTATTAGACAGGCAGAAAGTGAAGCTATCAACATCCCCGGCCTTGTTTTCAATGCCAAGTTCTTCCCCTTAACACGGATCAAGGGTGACATCTAGTGGAGTGTTGTAGTTCCTATTTTCAGATGTGAAAATTCAACGTTCAGAGATTCTAGTTCTTAAAGTTGTGTCAGTGTGAAAAAAAAGATAAAAAGAAAAATAAACAGTGAATGAATATGAGAGAATTGTTACTGTAGATCGAAAGTTTGTACAATTTATTGAATATTTATGAATTTTTTTTATCAGGTTTTCTTCAATCTTGTTTCTAATAATAGCTCATATTTAACTTTATATTATACACCAAGTTTTTATTGATTCATGGTTTTATATTTGATTTCTATTTTGTTTTAATTTTACCTGGTTTCTTTGTTTGTTTGTTTTTCTGACTTGTGGAATAAAGAGAGCTGAATTGAGCGCACATATAAACCGAATCCACCACAGATGCATATAAAGTCACTTTGTACCTGTGATTATGTTTACTGTTTAGGTGTACCAGACATGTGGAACTCCAGGTGAACCAGGAACCGGAAGTCCCGCCTCTCATGACCAGAAGAAGAAGAGCGGATCCCTGACCGCATCTGAGTACAAACCCTCACCCACCGCTGGACTCAGACTGGAGATGCAGGTGTGGAGAAGACAATCATATGATCTGTGCTAAGTCCATTTCTCCCTTTAACATCTGTTTGGAGGTCAAAAATATAAATGACTTTGAGATTTTCCTCATGTTTGAAGCTATAACTGAGATGGAGGGTGACAGCCGATGAAGAGGTTATGAGAAAGGTTGTTTATGTCTGGTCCTGACAGTGATATCGTTAAAATGCCATCATGTCCGGTACTGAATTGCACACTCATTGTAAAGGATTAGAGAGTGACTCGGTTGTCGTGTCGCTGTCCTCAGGTGTCAGATCTGTCGAGTAAGCTGAGGGAGATGAGGCAGTACTGGATCCAGCTCCCTTTGGCTCTCTGCAGCAAACTGTCAGGAGGAGGCGGTGGAGGGGATAAATGTTGGAACGGTATAACTAAAGCCAGGTGAGGACGAGCGCCGCTCCAGATTCATGTTTCTGTCACCGACACAGTGAATCAAATTTACTATCTCCACTCTGATCTGTAGTTTTTAACAGTTTCATTAAGTTTTTGTCTCTTAAATCATGAGTTTAAATCTGCACATGCACAAAAAAAAAAACTGGAAATCCAACATAAGCATAAAAATATATCGACTTATTATATAAAAGCAGTCGATGCTGTCAAGTTTTATTTGAAATACAAATGTCAGCTCCTCCCGTTGTTGCCATTTGTGAATTTTCTACAGAGCCTTACGTCCTTTTAATTCTTGCATCTAGACTTAATTTATGCCTTTTTCCAACCCAGACATTTTCATGCTTTCTGAGTCTTATCTGGTGTCTACCATCACATCTGCTTTTTTAAGATTTAGAGGCGCCAATTTGATCCAACCTTTTAATTTAGTTTATTTGCACATCATTAAAAAAGACAATTACAAAACAATAATAACAAAACAGCATGCAAGAGAGGTTTGAAGCCCCCAAAACGGCTAAATGAGAGTTATAATGAGCAGCAATAACGATTAATGACATATTCCAAAACTTGCGAGTAAATGACCTTTTCGAATTGGGATTGTTCAGATTGTTTCTCTGTGTTTTAATCACTTTTCTGAGAATAGGAAGCTGTATGTTGCTCGAGTAAACACTTTCAAGGTCATAAATCCTTTCAGAAAGCCCTATACATACATGTAAATAAGATCCTTTATGACCAGAAAATCCTTCTAAACCGTGCTGCATTTTCCCACAGCTGAAAAGAAATAAGGAGATAACAATCCAGAGGGAGTAGTCAGCCTGTCTCAGATAAAGATGCTTTGTTGCAGGCCGGCTCTTTTGTTGTTGAAGGCCATTTGTATCCTTTGTGTCGTAACAAACAGGCTGTTTCAAACAAGCTGTTTCTTCTCCTGCAAACTGACAACAGCGATGTATGGAAATTTATTCCAGGGTGCTGACATTTCTTCCACGTACGACGCTTGAAAAGCCTGTGGAGATTCACATCCTGCAGCACAAGCATTCACGGCCACACACTCGCACAGCCCCACCCTCCCTGAAGCCCTGTGTAAATGGATTATAGAACAATTTGATGCTACGCTGATATGTAGACGTGTATCTTCACCCCCCCTGTGCACACCTCACATGTTTAAAGTCGTTGGCTTACTGCCAGCTGATGAGATTTATGCCGAGCCGGATGCTGAGGATAAATGACAGTCAAAAAGGCATGTAATAGAGAATTATACTGTATGTGTGTGTTTTTATGTGAGTGTGAGAGAGAGAGAGAAATGTGAGGAAGGCCATGAAATATGGATGAACCGCTGACTGTGTGTGACAGATTAAGGAAATATGAAATGTGTGTGATGCAAGAAGTGCGATATAACACTTTGATTCCCTACAGCGACCTCTTGTGGGGGGTAATAAAAGTCACATTTTAAGAATGGTATACAGTGTGGAGTATGCAGCTTGAATAGGTCAGTATGAGATTTAGAGCAGCTCCTGGAACATAAATCAACTCGTACCCCTACAGAAAGACACGTGCATGTTGAATAAGACTTGGACTGTGAAGCCTCTTCTTTAAAGATGAGCATTTAGAGACTCAAAAGATGGATTTACTCCTTTTTTTTATCTCATATGTCCATGAATTCATCTTAAATCATTCTCACTGTTGATTTGATTAATGCATTTCCATCAAAGTCCAATATAAATACATGGTTATCTTTGCCAGAAATGTGTTTCAGATGGATTTTCTATTAATTCATGAAATAGAGAAACATAATCCATAAAATACTGGAAGCCTGAAATTTCAAGATCACTGTCACTACTCATGTTGAGTGCTCCCTTTAAGGTTGGAAATCCTACTCTAAAGCCCAATCCCAAACCGCCCCTTACACACTCGCCCTATACACTCTCCCTCCATTTCCGCGTCCCCACGGAGGCTCCGCCATATTGAAAGAGTGAGGTGGGTTAGTGAGCTGTTCAGCCCTCAAATAGTGAGTCTTCACCAGTGCAGACTTAGGCAGGATTTGCAGGTAGTGCGCCAGCAAAAATGGAGGAGGAGGAAACAACATAGAAATGTAAGTTACGTATGTGTCCACTTTTGTCTCACTGACAAAAAAAAAATCACAAAAGACGTGGTTTGGAAAGATCAAACGGAAGTAGGGAGTTTTTCTCTGTGCTGAGGTTTGATTCGATTGGTCAGGCACATGTCAGATAGTAAAGAGGTCCAAAGACGTGTGGAATCACTAACAATCAGAAGTATAATTTAGCTCTTGTCACTGTGATGGTTGCTGGATTTATAATTTTACTGGGAGGATGAAGAAACGAGGCAGCAGGTGCGAAATGTACACGATGTCAGTTTACTAAGAAAATAAACACTGCCTTGCATGGGACGCGTCTTTGTGTTGCTATGGGGATGAATCTTTCCATTTTTCGGTGGAGTGAGGAGGGCATCCCATACGTGCCCATCTTGTTTATACCCTCCCATTTCAACTGAGGTGCACTCCACAGCTGCGAGTGTAACTTCATTATGAGTGACACTCGGTAGTAAAGGGCGAGTTTGTCAGGGGCGGTTTGGGATTGGGCCAAAAACTTAGAGAAACTTCAGGTGCTTCAAGCTTGGAATCCAAGATGGCTGCTCCCTGCATCTGCAGTAATCAGCTGTACTTTTGACCGTGTGAATTAGCAACATAGTCTTGTTGGACTGCTCAGGTTCCGTTCCATCCTGCAGCCCCTTTAGCGCATCTCTCTCCCCTCTTTGTCTCCTGGTTTCCTGCTGTATCCACCATCCTGTCCTTTCAAAATGAAATGTCATAAAGCCCATGAAACGAAAACGACTACCGATCAATCTTTTTGAATCAAAGGCATAATTAAAATCTTCTCTTAAAAATATACATTTGGATGTAAATCATCAGGAACAGGTTATTTAACAGCTATTTCCAACTGTTAACATGAAGGAGGCGGGGTTTATAACCTTCACTGCGGTCAGTCAGCAGGGGGAGCTCTGAATAGTCTGGCTTTACATGCAGTTAACACTTGCAGTGTTTTCTACTGTCAATAGATCATACTAATGTATTTCTAATAAAAAATCCAAAGGGAACAAAATCACAGTCAGGGTAAAATTTGACAACAGAAGCTCTAAAATTTTCATTGAAATCCACTTTATTCATCAAACTCTGAGGGACACAAAGCTGGAAACAGCGACGCTTCAAACAACGACAAACATTTTTATTCTTATTTGAATAATTTGACACACATTTAGTAATAATAATAACAAAACTTGGTTTTTACAGCACTTTTCATTACAGGAAAGAAAGTGCTTCACAACAGACAAGACGGTAAAAGCAACAGGCAGTCAAATCAAGATGGCAATGAAAGGAAATATACAAATGAATTAGAGGATAAAAACAATGAAGAAGAAAATAAAACAATACAATTCTGGTAAAATCAGTGAATAAAAACATTTCTGTAAATGTTGGTCCTCACTGAGGAAAAAAAAAAAGCCCCTGACTCTGCGATCCTGATCGTCTCTGGCAGATTGTTTCACACTCAGGGCTCCGGCTGCAAAAGCTCTGTCACTGCTGGGTTTCACTTTAGACCTTAGAGTGACAAGTTCAGCCCCACCAGAGGATCTCAGACTGGGTCCTGGCTCTTAAGAGGTTACATTCATGTCGCCAACCCCACTAAACTGCCAGCAGTTGTGTTGCATTGTGGGTAAAGAGGCTGGCATAATTTGAAAAGCAACAATGCGTAAAACAGAAAGTTATAAATCATCTTATGAGTCCAAACACGTTTCAGGAACACAAAATCGTTGATGCGCACTTGTCAACGAGGGTCCTCACAAGCGCAGGCAAACATGTGGTTGTATACGTGTTTGTTTGCTCATGTCTACATGCTGACCGGGCGCTGTCAGCACAAAATGCCAAGTCTCATTTACAAGATTGAGCACAGCTGTGCCCACTTACCGAGCGAGTGCATGCATGTGTTTACAAGTAAACAAATTTATTCGAACACAGCTGCGATTTAAAGAAAAAAATTATCCTCTCTTTATGCAGATTCTTGTCATAGAGCCGTACTGAGGTGTCACTATGTTCTGAATAACACTGTCACTGTTTACATTTTAAAGATCCGGTAAGTAACTTTAGGTTGTATTGATTTATCAGACTCTTTTTCGCACTTCTAAAGGCTTTTTCTCTCTTCCAATCAGATACCTTCCTGAGGTGATGGGTGACGGTTTGGCCAATCAGATCAACAACCCCGAGGTGGAGCTCGACATCACAAAACCAGACATGACAATCCGGCAGCAAATCATGCAACTGAAAATCATGAGCAACAGACTGAAAAACGCTCTGGAGGGGAACGACGTGGACTTCCAGGACGCGAGTGAGTCCCTTTTTAATTTTTGTACGATTAGAAAAAAAGTCCTTTTCCTAACGCGAACATGTTGTCTATCCAGATGCATCACAAACACACAGTAACAGATCTATTTAGAGACTGAAGAGCTGCAGCTGATCCACTAGAACAGTCTCAAGTGGTGATTGTAAAGTTCTTCAAAACATCTTTTGCTGGGGAAAGATAAAAACAGCAGAAAGAAGCAGGAAAATTTAATAAAACAGGTTCATTAAAATGAGTACAAATCGACATTTACAGTCAGATAGTGCCCAAAAATAGGAAACATGAGAAAACAGAGACATCCCAGGTACAGAAAATATGCGTATGTTCATTAAATATTAAGGAATTAGTTAATTCAGCAGGATCCATCCTCATGGGGTCATGAATATTTTCACTAAAGCCTGTGCTTCACCCTTGAACAACTGTAAAGATATTTTGTCAAACAAATACAAAATTTGATCTGCTTGTAGCACTTAAGCAAAAGCAAGAGGTTCATCAAAGTCACCAATTTCATCCTCTGAGGATCACGAATGTTTGCACCGAAGTTTTTGATCATCCCTCCAACAATTGTCAGAGTATTTTGATGGATAGATAAAAGTTTTGACCAATTTAAGGCGCTGGACTAAAAGCAAGAGTGCTAATAATAACATATGCAGAGTTCACCCTCTGGAGAGCATGATTGCTTCTGCTATTTCTGCTACATGTTGACCCAGTGGTAGTTCCTGAGTTAAAGAAAGAGTCTATTAAAGTCATCATGGTTCATCCTGTTAGGATCATGAATATTTGGACAGTTTTAAGTTTCATTAGAATAAGTAGGATTTATCCTCTGGAGAGCACGACTGCTTCTGCTACACTTTCTGTCCTTCTCATAACTGTGAAGATGTTTTTTCGTTGAAGAAGTATACATTTTGACCCAGTGGTAGTTCCTGAGTTAAAACAAGGGTTCATTAAATTCATCATGGTTCATCCTGTGAGGATCATGAATGTTTGGACTAATCCTTTATTCTCAAAAAAGTTTTAAGTTTCATCAGAATATGTAGGATTCATCCTCTGAGGAGCACGAGTTGATATACCAATGACATTTGTTAAATATGAGAAATGTTTAATCTGTTTGGGCTCTGGATTCAAAGCCATGTGATCATCAAAGTCTGCAGGATTCATCCTCTGGGGATCATGATACCTGCACCAAATACACCTAAAAACTGTGATTTTAACAGTTTTATCCTGTTTTTAATGCTTAAATCTGCTCGATTGATGTTACAAAGTTGTAGTTTCTATCTTGCAGCGGTTAAAAATCAGCGTTCTTCTCCTCTCTCCGATGACCTCCACAGGTGATGATATCAGCGGCTCAGGCAGCGGCATGTGTGCGAGCGGTCACTGTGCACGAGGTAGACCAGGATTGTACTCTTTCTCTCCGGACACCAACCCAAACGGAGGCGCAGCGTCATCTCAAACCCGCTTTTGCGGTCTCCTACTCCTGCTCCCGTTGGCTGTCCTGCTGCTGCTTCAGCGATGATGGACCGCCGCTGCCTCCAATCAGACTCTGACGTTTGGAGGACAATGAGATGGACAACGTGAGGTTTCCTTTTGTTTTTCGAGGGGGAGAGAAGATTGGAACTTTGCCAAAAATAAAAAAAAAAGAAAAGAAAAAGACTTTTGAAGGAAAGAGTGAACATTTCCTTTGACCAAGAGCAGCAAAAATTGACACTGACAATTTTCTGTATTTTATTTTGCTAAGTTTGAACGTCTTAGTGTGAGTTTGATTCAATTTGTTGAGCTGGTTTCAATGGATGTTTGTGACGAAGACAGATGGAGAAAAGGAAAAAAAGCGAGAAGACTGACTGTTTATAAAAAAAAAGAAGACCTGGATATTGATCATGATTTATTGACACAATCAGGTCCTGTTAGCTGAAGGCTGAAAAAGTTCACCGATCAAAAATGTAGTGCGTTCAACAAAGCTTTTTTATTCCTTTTCATTTTATGATCTCAAGTCGAGGATGTCTACCTTACCAAACCTGGTGTAAGTTGTAAATGTTTGTGTACATTAGCAAAAAGACTGGCGCCATATTGAGCCATGAATGTACAGTATAATACTAATATTGGCAATGATTTCCCCCCTCATTTCTGTGATGTAGTCGTCCAGATGTTCTTGGTGTGTGTCGGCATAAACGGTTCGTTACATTCAGTAGGATTCAGTTTGAGATGTCGCGGATAAATTGTCACGTGATTTTACCTCACTTCTACTGTAAACATCCATTTCAAAAGAAAGAAATCGACAGGAATCTACTGCTCTCTTAATCAAATCACCGACTTTGTAAAGAAATAAGCATCTCATCAAGAGCGAGCGGGCAGATCCCAGAAGAACCTGAAAACTGGGAAGGATTTAGCAACTGCAGAAATCTCCACAGGGAAGGTTTCATGACGCAGTAATACTGAAGAGGACTCCTTATTGAACACGCGCCTGTGTTAAGAAAGAGAAATGAAGGCTCAGAAGCAACAGAGAGGCTGATATACAGCAGGTCAAACCAAAGCACTTATTACACCTTACACACTCACTTTATTTGTTTTCTTTTTTACAGTTTCAGACGTCTTAACCTTTCACCAGGATTTGTAAGACAGGTTTGTGGTTTTTTGTACATACAGAACAGGATATTTACGGGCTATACAAACACCTGGTGACTTCTCATTATCTCAGCATGCCTTTCTTTCAGTCTACTCTACTATACCGGTTCATATGAGACTCCTGGTTCACACAAGTCTCCTGCACATTCACATGTTACACACTGGGATTGTGTATTAAGCTGATTTTTTATTCATCAGTGTATTTAATCACACATTTCATTCATTAAACTCTGTTTGATTGTTGCAGTGGATTTTTTTTATGTGTATTTAAATTGCGGTCATATGGGAAAAGTAGATTTTTCAATCGGGGGCGCTCCATGGATTTCATAACCGTCTAACTTGGCTTGGAGGGAAACTGGTGATACGCTCATTGAGTAGCAATGGAGCAAATGTAGGAATGTGTTTTTATGATGCTTGGCTCATACGGAGGATTAGAGTCGGGATATCTCTGCCTCCGGGGCTTCAATTTCCAACATTTTGAAGCTTCGCTAGAGGCACACTGATATGCTGTTCTGTCGGACTGTCCATTACCTGTGTCCAAAGTGGAATATCTCAACAAGTCCTCGCTGTCTGGCTGTGAAATTTGGTAGAAATATTCACACTCCCAAGGGGATGTAGAGGGCATTTGTTGTTTGAGGTGGACAAGTATTGTTAGACCGCTGTGAAAAGTTGTACTTACACAGCTTTGCAATTTTCCTCCCACAGAATTTGGTCGGTTTAGTCCAGACAAAATAACTGCAATACTAATGCAATCGACATGAGCCTCAGTAGGGGAAAGGAGGGTAGTTGGAGTCTGTGGAGATGTTGACCACCACCCCTCATTTCTCTGCAGTATTCGACAAAGTTGGTCATATTTACAAAGAGTCATCCATTTGAGCACATTTTAACTTTAAAACTGTTTTATTCAGTATTTATACTGAGTTTTTCAGTATTTTTGCAACCCATTGAGGGCAGTCTTTATGTTGCTGAAGTAGGTAAACATAACTTTTTTCCTCTACGCTTTAATTTATATAAACTAACATTTTTTTTTTCAGCCTTATTTGGTTAGAGTTTTGTAAACATCGAATACAACCTCAAAGATGTCATTAGATTTCTTGCTTTGTTAAGTTTTTAATGAGTTTTGTACTATTTTAATTGATTTTAGAGCAAAAGTTGATGAACCACTACCTGAAATATGATTGCCAATTGTATTTGTTGACACAGTCCTTTATTCTTTTGCGTAGTATCCAGCATTAGCATGCTAACAAGGCTGATTAAGATAATTAACATGGTTAACAAAACCTGATTGGGGATGTCCAGAGGCATAAATACGTAAGGTGTTACTGGAGCTCAGCAGAACAGTCTGTCGTCTCACAAGCCCTAAAGTTTGCAGTTTGATCCCAGCTCCTCCAGTTAAAGAACGAGTGTGTAATTTTGCTAAAACAGCCAAAACATGCCTCTACCATATATAAGCCAAGTGTCAAGATCTTGATGTGCCCTCTGTGTTCCATGAACTGGATTAGGTATTGGGTGATGGCAACTTTGAGAAATTAAGCCAATGTGGAAGTAGGGCTGGGCGATGAACCGAAAATTTACCAATACCAAAATTTACGACAATAACCGACGTCATTTTGCCCATTTCAATATATTCGATGTCAAAAAAATAAATAAATAAAAGTTGGTTTTGGATGTGTGTAGGTAGGCTATGGTCTCATGTCCCTTTAAGACGCTGTCCTATGTCGACAATGTGACTCCACTCCATCCAGTCTATAACAAAGAGGGAAAGACAGGTGAGGAGATGGAGGACGGTTCAAAAGTTGGAGCAGCTGAAGTAGACAAAGTTAATGTGGGAGGGGGTGAGCAGCTTGTGGAGTAGTTATCATCCATTTATCGAGGTGAACTGCTCAATATATGGGGATATTGATTTAAGGCCATATCGCTCAGCCCCATTAGGCAATGCTAAAAACTGCAGCTCCTCTCAAAGTGTCCTCAGCTCCTTAAGACAAGACGTGAAGCTAGATACAAGCAAAACACAAAGTTGGTGAAAGGTCAATATTTCATCGGTGAAAGGCCAAAGCGATATAATCAGCTATTACCTTTAGCTCTTGTAAGTGTTGTCTTTGTGACCACACTGGCTGATATCTGTATGTAGGACATCCTCGCCTCCTTTTTGGAGAGAAAGCTCGATTTGCCAGCTGCTTCGTAGTCATAAATAAACATATATCTCTTTGTAACAAGCAGTGACAAGCCCCATGTGGAAATAAGGAGTTGATGTGATGTGTGCGGATCACAATCCTGCACCCGTCAGGGGGTTCGAAGCTAATGAATGATTTATTCTTCTGATGCATACAACAAAACAGAACAGCAGGCGCACACACTGGCACAGGGAGTCACAATAAGATCGTATTTTTTGGTTAGTTGTGTCTCCGGGTTTTAGTGTGCCTGACTCACATTTCAGATCTCATATTTGGTCAATCTCAGGCCTGATATGAACATCTGCCTGGTGTTTTTTTTTTCCAGTTTTAGATCTCAACAGTCTTGTCCAAAAGTTGTGGATAATTTGGAGAAAAATCAAACCCAAAATTAATTCTGTGTGTGATCAGCTGTCTACACTTTGAGCTCTCCGGGTGAGTTACCTTTGTTCAAAAGCCTCCACCGCTCATCCTGCAGAAATTTAAAGGATACATCTGATCTTTGTAGGAGGGTTTATAAGTTATTATTCTGTTCATGTGGCAGCCTGCAGGTCTATTATAGATTATAGCGTCTCCAGCTGTGGTTTAAAGAAAGAAAAAAACCTGTGGCTGATGCATTTGAAAAGACTTTACCTGCTATTTGTCTGCATCTCACCTTCATATGAGGATATAACATCTCTGAACAATACTGGTCAATGTGCACAGGATGAAATAACCCCCACGTAAAGGTGACTGTTGAAGTGGCACACGGTGATCTGTCCTAGAAACAGCTGAAGGACAGCGAAGGACTACCTGGGCTGGAGATGGACACGCCACAGCAGTGATCTGTTCTGCATTTTGTGTCTTTTCACTCATAATGAGAGTCAGGAAACAGGCGCGATTTGGACAGAAACTTAAAGGATAATTTGATCCGAAGCCATCGAGGGCTGAACCGTGTTAGAGCTTTATTTTGCTGCACCACAGAGAGCTGTTTTAATACTGCAGCTGTCATTAAAACAGACTGATCTGACTCATTCTCCTCCGACACCATTAACATTACCCGGTAGACAAGGCTTTTGGAAAAGATTTATGCTTTTACTGTTGAATAGTTGTGCACACAGGTCTTCAAGGCAAAACAGAAAAACCTAACTTTACCAGTTTTATCACGGTCAGAATGATTTTCCTTGTGGCTGTTTGATTACCCTGTTTGTTAACATGACTAAACATTGTTATAGCTACAGTACCTCTTTGCTAACAGTACCAATCTACAGGTGCTTTAAAATGCTGTTTACAGAAACATAAACATTAGACTAAAAAGACAAAAGAGTCACTTTATCTATCATATATCGCTTAGTCCAAGGTTTCCTTGATAAAGCAGAATATAAGAAATGACAGATCTTTTTCTTAGGTGGGCTTTAGGGCGTGGCTACTTTTGATTGACAGGTGGTTTGCTGTGGCTCAGCCTATTAAATTTTAGCACGCAGCCATTATTAGTCTACTTTTACAAACAGTTACACATGTTTTTGTTATGCAAGGCAAAAAAACTTCCCAAATTCACATCCAATCCTATTTTATCAAAAAGGCACCGGCCTCTAGGGCAAACAGGTAGGGGAGAGTGGGGTAAGTTGAGCCAAAGGGTAAGTTGAGCCACCCCCTGTTACTTGGGAATGGTAAAAGAAATTGATCATGTGACCAAATATTTGGGAGATGGGCATCAATTCATGGAGTCTGTGAAGGTTAGAAGCACATGGGTGAAGGGGTTAGACATTTATTTCTATTTTTCAATCTTGAAAGTGACTCTAGTCTGTCATAAGTTTTATTAGAATTGTGTTCAGACCAAAAAAGATCATTTTAAATTTGTTTTATACATCAATTGTGGTATCTATGAGCTACAACATGAGGTCAAAATACACGGGGTAAGTTGACCATATGAGACCAATTTTTTAGGGCGTGGCTAATTTTGATTGACAGGTGGTGTGCTTTTAGCATGCGGTCATTAGTAGTCAACTTTTACAACCAGTTACATGTGTGGTTGTTGTACCAGGCTAAATACCTCAGAAAAAGTCTTCTAATCCCGTTTTATCATTGAGGAACTGGCCTATAGTGCAAACAGGTACTCACCACCTTTTCAGCATTTACCCGTGGAGTTGCTTTATTCAAGTTTGACCACTGGGTGTCGCTGTCCAATCACGCAGCCAGCAGCACACACCGGTCTGGGCTGGGAGGAGACCCGGACCCATTGGGCATTCAGTTTGGGTCAGGCTGAAAAAAGACGGGTGATTGGTTTACGATCCGCCATCCTCGCTCTTGATTGGACGGGAAGGTGTGAGAGAGAAGTGGCTGAGCGGAGAGAGAGAGCGAGAGAGGGGGGAGACTCACCAGCTTTAGTCCCCGCTGACTCTGCTGGTGCTGCACTGTTTCACACTCACTCTAACACACTCTCACAGTGACACACACACACTTTCTGAGGGCTGAGATGTGACTGTTCACCAGAGGAATACTGCGTGTTTCTGAGGGGATTTTTCTCTTTCTGTCAGCCGGATCATGGGAGAGGACAGGCGGGGACACATGTGGACCATGCCGGTCAGTGTGGCTGCGGTGCTCCTGTGTTTGGTTGCTTCAGTCAGCGCCGTGGAAGGTAGGTGTGCAGATGGGGCTCCTCACTGTTCAGATGGTGCAGAGTGAAGAATTAATGTATGCAATAACTGTGATTAAAGCTGCACTGTCTGCGGGTTTTATTACAACACTTATTACCCTTGTAAAATAGGCGAACAATCCAACTCTGTCTGCAAGGCGTTTGAAGCGGTAAAATATTGTCTTTTACTGCTTTTGGGTTTGTCAAGAAGAAGAAGTTGAACAGGGTGTATTTGGGGTTTAATATGAGGCTGTCAGGTAGCAGTGGGGTTGTTTTTTTTTTGACTGTGCAGGAATTTCCCAGAGCTCAATGCTACACACCTCACAAACATGAGAAAAAAGCACAAAAATGATTGAAAATGTCGCTTATAATGGTCATTTCTGAATCTGAGGAGCAGTAGGTTTCAATTCCCTCAATTTCTTTGTCAGTTTTTTCAGATTTTATTGTCTTAGAGGCATAAACAAGT